AAAAAAAAAGAATGTTTGAAATGAAAGTGTAAAAGAGTTAACAGAAGGTGACTTAATAGCATTCAACTGTAGTAGTTGCAAAGCTTCTTGAGTACTGAAAAAGTAAATGAAGTGCCACCTAAATGCACTGAAATTGTACTGAAAGCAGATGAACTGTGAAGGAAGACAAAGAACCACGAGGGGAAATGAAAGTTGCGTTTACAGTGTGGGAGAGGCCTGCAGCGTGCAAGTGTCAGCGGAAATCAGAGACCTGGTTGACAATAAAGAGTCAGTTGAAGAGTACGAGAGGAAAGCCTCATTTCTCCTGGACGGTCAAGAAACCGAGCGGCGGTGTGGTCACCACCGAGCTCCTCACATTCATCCTGAGGAAGAGGAGAAGGTGGAGAAGACGACAAAGTACTTCTCCGACAAAGACGACGACATTGTTCGCAATTTGCAAATCACAGTTGGCGACATTTGCAACGGTGATCTAGTTTGTGTCGCGTCAATAATTCACTAGTCGTCCTCGAGACGTCGCAACTCTTCTTTCCATAATTGCAGTAACTTTATCTCTACTGGTTGTTTCTTAATACAAACACGGTGCTTTGGAATGTTCAAACTACCTCAGTCAGATGGAATATGGCTGCAGACCCACTTAGTCGCTTAGTAACCAGATAGCATAATGCCGGGTCTCCCTCCGGCGTATTACTCAAAAAAGCAGCAGAAATACGAAGGAATACACTCATTGTACAAATGTTCCGTTCTTCTGAGAATCAGGCTGCGCAAGCGTCTTCATCCCACTTATGGGTTGGAGAAGTTCTACGTCAGACAGAAGTATTTTCCATCAACCGTCCCGTGCTGGTGGGCTTCCATTAATGTACGGAGGACGATTCCTCATCCAAGAGATGAAACACTAGATCATGAAGGTCCACTTTGACTCCGTCAGAGCTCCGCTGTTGTGTTTCTGCACTCACACCATTAAATATGAGCAGGGAGCTTTTTGTTCTGTGGGAAATAAAGGCTGAGGATGGTTGGCGGTCCGGGCTTGGACTCTCATCTTTGGAGGTTTTACATAAGCATGCAGCAATAAATGTAAACACATTTGACGGCCAAAGTGCTGCAGGGACTGAATGTGTCTGAAGAAACACCACTTAATATCTGCGCTCTGGTGGAGAAGTTATGATTAAACCGGAAAAGGCGACGGGTGCATATAGGAACCCCAATAAATGATCCTTTATGAGAAACGAGCCGTGATTTTCTGTGAGATCACAGACTTACGCATAAGATCTTGATATTCTGGGCTATTGGGCTGTGCGCTGTATTTAATAGTTACCAAGTACTGAAATCAATTAAACTACATTTCAGAAAAATAATAAAAAATAATGATATACAGTATATATATATATATATATATATATATATATATATATATATATATATATATATATATATATATATATTTTTTTTTTTTTTTTGTCATGGATGACAGTCCCCAGGAATGGTGGTCCACACATGAAGGGGCACACAGCAAAATGGCATCTTGCACGCAAGTACTTAGCAGCACCGGCAACATCAGGACCTCATGAAAGGTTGTTTTCAGTGTCTGGGCGTGTTGTGCAAGAAGCGAGCTTCACTGTTGCAAATGTCAAGAGGCTTCTCTGTTTGAGTAGCTGGCTGAAAGCAAAGAAGTAGTAGGCTCAGGTGATTCATTTTGAGTTAACTGACATATTTGTAAATAAATCGTAATAAAATATTTGAATCGTGTGACTGCACATACATGAGATCATGATTTAATGTGCAAGCACATGAGAAACTTGCTGATGCCTCCAGTCGCTGAGCTGTGAGTCCAGACTGTAATAACTGACTTAGATTCAAAAGGCCTGAGATATTAGTCTTTGGGTTGACCTTGTGATTGTTGGTCATACACATAAGGAGTCACGGGCCAAACAAGCGCGGAAGTGTATTTTCAACCAGTTACACTGTGAAAATCCATGAAACACCCATTCTGTCCCAGAAAATACATGTTCTGTCAAAATAATGACACAACACCACTAAACGGCGTATTGTTGTGGCCTCATGTTCAATCTCCTGCTCTGTAATGTAGTTCAAGTGATTTCAGTACTTGGTAACTATTAAATACAGCGCACGGCCCAATAGCCAGAAAATCAGGATCTTGTGCGTAAATCTGTAAACTGACAGAAATCACCTGCATTAGTGTCTTTTCGTGGCAAGTCTAATATTAAAATGGGCAGGAATGGTAGAATAAAGGAATCCGCGTCAAGGCATTAAGACGGAGATAGTTCCACTAACGTTGTTCATTCAGGGTCGTATCAATATTTCAAGATCATCTCACGTGATCACGGCTCGCTCTCATAAAGGATCATTTATTGCGTTCATATTTGCACCCGTCGCCTTTTCCGGTTTAATCATAACTTCTCCACCAGAGCGCAGATATTAAGTGGTGTTTCTTCAGACACATTCAGTCCCTGCAGCACTTTGGCCGTCAAATGTGTTTACATTTATTGCTGCATGCTTATGTAAAACCTCCAAAGATGAGAGTCCAAGCCCGGACCGCCAACCATCCTCAGCCTTTATTTCCCACAGAACAAAAAGCTCCCTGCTCATATTTAATGGTGTAAGTGCAGAAACACAACAGCGGAGCTCTGACGGAGTCAAAGTGGACCTTTATGATCTAGTGTTTCATCTCTTGGATGAGGAATCGTCCTCCGTACATTAATGGAAGCCCACCAGCACGGGACGGTTGATGGAAAATACTTCTGTCTGACGTAGAACTTCTCCAACCCATAAGTGGGATGAAGACGCTTGCGCAGCCTGATTCTCAGAAGAACGGAACATTTGTACAATGAGTGTATTCCTTCGTATTTCTGCTGCTTTTTTGAGTAATACGCCGGAGGGAGACCTGCCATTATGCTATCTGGTTACTAAGCGACTAAGTGGGTCTGCAGCCATATTCCATCTGACTGAGGTAGTTTGAACATTCCAAAGCACCGTGTTTGTATTAAGAAACAACCAGTAGAGATAAAGTTACTGCAATTGGGGAAAGAAGAGTTGCGACGTCTCGAGGACGACTAGTGAATTATTGACGCGACACAAACTAGATCACCGTTGCAAATGTCGCCAACTGTGATTTGCAAATTGCGAACAATGTCGTCGTCTTTGTCAGAGAAGTACTTTGTCGTCTTCTCCACCTTCTCCTCTTCCTCAGGATGAATGTGAGAAGCTAGAGCTTCACAGTTTATCTGCTTTCAGTACAATTTTAGTGCATTTAGGGGACACTTGACTATTTTACAACGCCACTTCCATTGTCTTTCGTTTTTTTGTTTAAAAGTGCAAATTTTAGTACACGGCCATTAACATCAACCCCTGTGAACTTTGGTCAACCCTTGGGAGGAAGGTTACCAAGGCTTTAATTAGCACAGACTCTTATCTACAGCTAGATAGATCGAGATTGAGATCTATCCAATTATCCGGCCCATCAGAGCTCCTCGTGCACCACATAGACCGCAGCTGCTTTAGTGGAACACACCGCGTTGGTCTTCATGGTGCAGTGCGGGTCAAATAGGAGCTGCAGCACTTCTTTCCCCCAGAAAGAAGAGTGGGGACGAGGAGATGAAAGAACCTCCTAACATGTTTGAGCCAGCGGACCATCACATTCATCTCGGGTCTCTCCTCCAGCCCGCAAAGTGCTTCCCCCTCCGAGAGGACAAATTGATAACACATTGTCAGTTTGCTCCACGAGCGCCTCAGATTACGCAGTAAATCATATCTCCTCTTCTTCTGTGTACTGTAAAGCTTCCTCTGCAGCGTTCACATCCAACAAGCCCAGCCTGTAATTACCAAAAAGTGTTATTTCTAACCATCAGGGCTCTCTGCACAGAGTCGCTATTATGGAAAGATCCCCTCCAGCTACACAAGATGTCTCTTCACCGAGGAGCCCAGTCTCAGTGCGCGAGGAACCGAGCTTTCAAGTTGTCGTACTTGTGTCGATTACAAATTGGTTATTGACAAGACCAGGTGTTCATCTCCGATCAAAAAGGTCTGTTTCTCTGCACACCGATCATTCTGCACAAAGCGCAGACATCCAGCAGGAGGAAAGTGCAACAATCTTAAGTGGACTTTAAAGGAGACACGGGAACATGATCTCATGAACCTGCTTGTGACACAAGAAGAGCCAAATCAGATGGGCGTGTTGAGTCGGATGGTCTGTGCTGCAGGCTGACTGGGTGGTCTCATTTCATTAAGCATGAGACGTCCCCCGTCAGGTATTAATGAGCGGTGTGCTCACATTCTTAAAGAGGTCCAGTGTGCACTTTGTTGGCGCCAGCAGTGAGTTGGCAGACTGAGGCTTCACCCTTGAACCAACAGCGGGAGTCGGAGGCAGAAAAGCAGCCGATGGGTCGATCGTTTAAGGGATACTAGATCCATGTTTCCTGTTTGAGGCTCACACTATTGTTGAAATGAAATAATCTTAGAAGCTTAAAGGGGAGATATCTGGTTAAACCGCATCAATGTAAACCAATCAAAATCACTGCTTTTATATCAGGAGTCACAAGTTAAGTTTGTAAAACAAAGGTTATGTTCTGAATATAAAGTAAGCGAATACTCAGAGCCACAAAACATTACAAAATACAGTTAACTTACTCGTTACCTTCAGCTTCATATACCAGAAAACTGTCAGAATGCTGTCAGTTAGAGACAGGAATGTGTGTGTCCACAGTAATAAAAAGCACGTCTTACATCATATTACTGAACTGAAGAGGGATTCATTGTATTATTAATCAGATAAGAGTCCGTCGACAATTTTACAGGTGAGATTAATCTCATCAGATCAGTAGTTCTTTTTCTTAAACTATGTTTGGATCAATAGCTCTAAACGGTCAATAATTCTGTGCCTATTAATGCTCCTTAATATCCTCCTCAGTCTCTGTCTCCATCTAGTGGCCACAGGATGAACATCACTCCTCTGCTGCTTTTACGACCAGAAAAGAGGAACTTCTTGGTATCTGTTGTCTCTTTTTATTATTTATCAGATACTAACATATAAATAACAGACATCGTTACAGGAAAAGCAACTTGACGAGAAAGAAAAGTTTATACAACATCACAGACCGCAACAGAAAAAAACAGGAATCAACAGTTGCTCCTCATAAGACCGTAAATCAGAAATGTTAAAACAAGTGGAATTGCTTTAAAGTGTCGAAGTCGCTCTCAACCCACATAATCACATCTGGTATTCTTCCTCTTAGTGAAGACAGATCACACAGAAGGGTTTTCTTCTCGATTTGGACCGAATAACAGCTGTTTAGGAATGATCGACCTGAGTTGGACTCAAATAGGATTCCCACAGAAATACAACGTGACTGCATCTCGTTAGTACATGAAGCCAGTTACAATACTCATTCCCCCCCGAAAAACAAAACCAAGAGCTGAATGTCCACGTCTGCTACGGAAACCCAAAAGAGTCTCATTGACAATTAAGGCCGAAAAAAAATCATTCTCACTTATTTAAGTACTTCGGTCCTTTCCAAAAACGTTTTGGTGCTCCTGGAAGTTGAGATCTGTCTGAAGTCACATTAACAGCAATGATGAGGCACAAAGCGAGGAGGGCGCGTGCGACGTGCCCGTGTGATGAAGGCCGGCGCGCTGACGAGGCGCGGATCTCATCGTATACGTTCTCGTTTTAAGAGGCGCAGTGAGCTCTTACGTTGACAGCAGGAGTGATTCATGTATTTAAGGATTTCTTTACTTACAGAGAGGCAGGAAAACATTCAGATGAATGACTTTTTATTTTCTCTTTTATCCCTTACAGCAACTTACCTCTGCTCAAAGACGCAGGACAGCAAATCTATTTATTATAATACCTGGAATAAAAAAAAATAACACTTTAAAAGCATTCCGAACCTCACGTATAAAAATCGAAACAATGAAAGCAACGCAGTGTATAAAATGACATTTGAAGCGGATTCGTTTCAAAAACCAAAAGAAGGCAGATTGACCCTTTTTTCACCGACAAACCGGGGTCACGTTAGAAGCGCCGCCTCTCGCACCGCGCCGCCCTTCCGCCCTTCAGAGTCATTGATGTCGTGTGTTTTTCAAGTAATCCCAAGTCTCAGTGACATAATCCAAAGAACATTTCATTTCTCTCCATGTGCGATTGTTCCAGTGGTTCCTCACCTTTCCATCACTCACAATCAGTGAGTGGGGGAAAAAAAAAAAAGAAGTAGAAAGTGCTGAAAGCTCAAAGAAGCACCGCAAAACTACAAAAGCGACGTAATCCCAGTGATCCGAGCGGGGCTCAGGAGGACAGTTTGGAGTAGCTCGGAGGGGAGAACTTGCGCTTCAGGTATTTGATAATATAGAGAGGAAGACAGCTGACCAACGTGATGGCGGACACCTTCCACAGGAAAGGCCAGGTGGTGATGAAGGACAGGTCTGGGGGGAGCAAAGAGAAGAGGAGAGGGTTCAGGTACACGCACCAGTGCATCGTGTGAATGATTCCACGGGACGGAGGCAAGTCAATGGAGCAACGAAAGAAACGCAAGCGGCGAAAAAGCAACACCAACACTCGACATTCAAAATCGGACGACGCATCGAATCCAATCACTTTGTCACAGCACTGAATACGAAAACGGAACAGTGGAATGACGCGAGCGGAAGAGACAGAACATGCTGACAAAGTTAAAGCATCGTCAGGGCACACGGACGAGCAGACGCGTTGACAGGCAGCACACCTACCAAGGAAGGCTCCAAAGGACACCCTGCCTATGCCTGCCACACACACCAGCAGGGACAGAGTGAGGACGGCACAGAGGTTACCAGTGAGCAGAGAGAAGGGAGGGGGGACATAAAAGTACAGAGCCGAGGGCCGAACAGCTGCACAGGCACAACAAGTGTGTGACGTTGTACTACCAAAGAGAAAAAGAAACTACCATTTGATGTGTTCCCTACAGAAAGAATATCTTCACAGCTTTACCTCGACATCAGACACCGTCAGACGCACGCACGGCCGATAACGCTGATCCTGATTGGTTACTGAGCAACTTTGGTCAATCTGAACAAACCTAAAGTCTAAAGTGAATCTAAGGAAACGCAACACAACTAACTAACTGACTGAGGGAGCAGAAGCGCCCATGTTTTGGGAAGTTAGATCATTTAATAGTAAGATATATATATATATGTTTATTTATCAATAAAAAATGCAAAAAGCGTGCTTACCAAAGTACTCGTTGAGGAAGGCGAGCGAGGCCAGGTAGCAGCCCAGGCTGAAGAACTCGGCCACCACCATGAGCCAGTGCCAGGTGCGGACGGTCAGCGCCACCATCAGCAGCTCGGTGAGGATCAGCGCCGTGAAGGAGATGGCGACCACGTGCACGAACTCAGACTCAAACAGCAGCAGCGCGCCGTACATGAGGATGCCGCCTGGTGGAGAGGACGCGTCGTTACGGGAGGGGGGGGCAGGCTGAGTGTGGGGGGGGTCTAAGACGTTGAGTTAAGGATTAATGTGTCTGGAGACGAGCAATGATTCAATAACCTTATTTGAGAGCGTAAAATATAAAAGATGGATAACTGGTTACTTTATTAATCCCCAAAGGGAGTTTTCTTGCTGAGGTGCTCTGGAGGGTCCGATTAACATCTTTAATAATCCAGACAGTCACTCATCTGTGGGCCCCTCATGTATCCCGATAGCCCTTTTTATCGTCATAACACAACACAAATTGAGCCTGACAGCCTGTAGCTGATGACATAATTGCTTTTTCATAGTCTTCATGCGACGCATTCCAGCAGGTCAAACTGCTGGAATTAAAGCTAGATCGGCGCTTAATATTTTCTTCCCTTTCCCGTCATTCCTCTAGTATCGTCTTCATGGTTCTTTTTTTTCTTGCCCCCCCCCCCCTCCATTCCCCCCACGGACCTGGCATGGGCCCTTTAATTAAAAAGCATCGAGCTGTCAGGAAGTCACGCTCCAGCAGGAACATGGATCTTTCTCGCACGCTGCATGGCTTAGCGATTACAGAAATATCGATTTACTGGACAGACAAAAGGCCGCATGTAGGGACGGATGGCGGTTGGAAACCCAAGATACTGAGAAACTGACTGTGTGAGGGTTGGAAGGGGCCCGGAGACGTGGTATTAAGGCACAGCATTCATGATGAAATGGTGGTTGAGGAGTTGCTTTGACAGTCTACAGTAGCAGAGCGGTCATTCTGTCCCGCAGTCTCCCACACAATAACCTCCATTAGTCCAACTAGAGGAGGACGGTTCAAAAGCAGAGCAGTCTCTCAGACATCGGAAGGCGGCTGGTGGTATCTTTGTGTGCATGTGTGTAGGACTATTTTTATTGATCAGAATTAGCTTCAGGGGCGTACGCATACCTATAAAATATAACGACCTGTAGGATGTGCCAGCGGGCCGTACCTTGATACACACTTATCAGAACCCAAATGAGGAAAGTCTTGAAAGATAACGAGCGCCCCTGAAAGAGAGAAACGCAGGAGTTAAACATGCGAGGCAAAGAAAAACGGAAATGTATTAGTCGTATACGAGTGCGTATTGTGAAAAAGAGGTTCTTTACCTTGGTGAGGTCCTTATAAAGCTCTGGGTAGAGAAGCGCCATCTCTGGCTTCACGTCCTGGTCCAGAACCAAGGAGAACACAGGGAACATGGTGTACATGGTGGCATACCTGCACAGAACACCGCGCTCTTTAGATGCAGATTACATCATCGAAATCCACACATCTGTGCCGGCCTTTTTATATCTTGGCTTTCCAAACGTTGCTGTATTTAAAAAGCATAATGTGCGATATTCTCACGCCACGGGCCAAATAATCAAAACAATTACAAAATACATGGTTTGGTTGTTAAGAAGCGTGATTTGATGGGATGGTTTATTATGCATAGAGGTCTCCCCTCCACCGGCTGATTAAAACCAGTAACAACATTGAGAATTTGGTTTGGGAAAGTACTAGAAACATTTGGGATAATGTATAAAACACAACAAAATATATAAGCAAACTGTTGTTACATTACAAACAATGTGGAAGTGCCGTAATACTAATGTAAGTAATGCCAAACAGGCACCGTAGAGAACGACAGGCACTTAAACAAGCACTTATTTGGAGATGTACGTACCCGACCATGAGGAAACCCTGGTACAACGGCACAGAGGCAAAGTAAAATACTGAAGAGAAGACAGCCTGAGGATGGAAGACAAACCGTGTCATTGCTTCAGCACCAATCTCAAATTAAAACCAAGGACATTCTTTGAAATCAGACAAAAAACAAAAGACCAAACACCACTGTGAAGGTCAATGAAAAGAAAACCTAAAAATATTTAAAAGTTGCAAACGTGTATTGGTTGTTACCGACTGCTGTACCTGCATGGCGGAGATGATCATTCCTCTGTGCATGACGAACTGACCCAGCGCCGCAGAGCGCTTGTAGCTGTTCCTGCCGTGAACCATGAGCAGGCGGCCGATGTGCTTGAACTGAGTGATGGAGAAGTCTGCAGCCAGAGACGCCTGCTTCCCTTCCTGTGTACACACACACACACACACACACACACACACACACAAAGCTGGGTTGTAAAGCATTGAGCCTCTTCAGTACCACCTGCTCCTAGATAAATAAATACACCAATTAACCTCAAAATTGTAAATAAAAAGGTAGAGGCCGGATGTGTAACTTGAGTTTCAAAGTAAATGTGCGGTCAGTTAGAAGCCATATTCAAGATGTTTCACGGTTGGAGTCGCCGTCCTTCACAGTTCAGGGAAAATCTCTGGATTAACTAATTATTTTGTCTAGTGAAAGGTTTACCTTTCCTTCAATTCCAATACCACAGTCTGCAGCCTGGATCATACTGACATCATTTCCTCCATCTCCTGCAACAAAATAAGAACAATCATTCATTTAACATGCTCAAGGACCTTGCTGGGTGCGTCTACTGCTGATCTTTGACTGCCATCTTGTGGTTAAACCCAGTTATATATATTTTTGTGTGTTAAAACAATATACTGTGATAGAAAGTAATGTCTGTCAACACTCGCCTATGGCGCAGGTTCTGTTGGCTGTGTGCTGCTGGAGGAGCGTGACGATCTGGGCCTTCTGAGTGGGAGAGCAGCGACAGCAGACCACCGCCGGACACTGACACGCCAGCTCCACGAACTCGTGCTCGTAATACCGCAGGCACACCTACAGAGAGACGGGGAGGCAGAGCTCAGCTTGGTGTCCATTGTAATTTATCCCAGTGCGGCAATCAGTTGGACTCGTAGGCCACTGGCAAAGCTTGTAGAACATGTAGATGTCTATTTCCCAACTAAAGGAAAAGTACAGAAGCCATTAGGGTTTAGAGGCAAATGGGAAAAAAAAAAAAAATGTGTGATCTTTTTTTCTCACTTGTGTTTGACTTTCTTTAAAATATTGTCCTTGTAAACAGATTTTAATAAACGATTATTCTGACTAAAAGTGCGGTAACCGTTTTTCTACTTCTTTTCACAGGTTGAAAAAAAAAGTTCTTAATTCATAAACACCAGATAGAGAGCAATCAATCTAGACTGGAATTATTCTTTAAAATGCATCACCAGGATTTAGATTTTGTCACCTATAAATAAAAAATATTAATATTAAATAAATAAAAAAATATTATTGCTGAAAAGTTTTGGTTGTCTTGCCTATAAATACGACAACCGACAAACCAGCATCTTGCAGTGATTTGTTTTGCTCCTCAAGTCCTTGGTTGTTTTGTTCATTGTTTTTGGCTGGGAAGTATTTTCTATCCCTCCCATGGCGGGTTTGGCTGCATCATCTCCAAAGAAATGTCCCCGTGTGCTGTGTTGTGTTGCAGTACCTCCAAGGAGTCTCCAGAGATGACCAGAGCACAGTCATGTTTCCTTCTGAAGGCGTTGAGCTCCAGATGGGCCTCTCCTCTGCTCGAGATCTGCTCAACAGCCACACCAGAACTTAGGCTTTTTGTATTTATCGTAGGCGCATCATGATCACAGCGAAGCGCCGGTAAAGAGTGACAGTCAAGCAAGCTTACCGGTTTGAAGACGTGGATGTCCTGGTTTCTGGACACCAAGTGGGAGCTTTTGGCGATGCACGTAGCCGTCTCCAGCTTGTCCCCCGTCAGCATCCAGATCTGAGCAGGAAGCAAGAAGCCAGTTGACTGACGATGTGGCATGCAAAGGGTTTAGTGGATGCTTAAACACAACTAATTAGCGTTCATGGAGTAGCATCTTCCTCCGTGTTGGGCATCTGATCAGCCCTGAATCACTGTGGACATTATATTTGTCATTTATTTGCTGCTCATCTCCCGCGCTAACCTTGATCCCGGCGTTCCTCAGCAGCTCCAGCGTGGGCCTAACGTCTGCTTGCAGCTGGTCCTCCACACCGGTCAGACACAGTAGCTCCATCTCCCTCTCCAGGCTCTCCACCACGGCCGCGACCTTCAGCCCTCGGTCGTGGATGCTCAGCTTCGCCTGGTTGTAGCGGTTCTGCACGTAGAGTGGAGGTGGAAAGGAGAAAATGAGACACTAACCTACGATCATAAACCTAAATCCAAGAGGTATCACGTTGCCAACGTCGGTACGCTGTGTTATGACCTCAGGCTCCCAACCAGCAGCCTCCACTCTCACCTCAAAGTCCTGATACTGCTCCTCGGACAGAGACTTCTTCGCCACCACCAGCGTCCTCAGGCCTTCTCGGGCCATGTTCCCACACTGACGCACAGGAGGGGATGAGGTTAGTAAATGTTATTGAGCGCGCGCGCGCACACACACACACACACACACACGGTTTATTATGTTGTATATTTTATATCAACTTATTTTCCAAAACTTAATTTCTTGAGATTAAGGTTGATTTTATTCATCTCAAATAAACGTTACGTCTTTAACGAAGGGTGAAAATGAATCCTAACTTTGTGCGGCTCATCAGTCCTGTTTGAGCGGTTGCTGCATAAAGACACCATGCACAGTGGTGTCAGTAGTGGCATATACTTAGCAACCCCAAAGGAATCAATATGGAATAATATGGCCTGTGGTGAGATTCAGAGGGCACAGTAAAACAACGGGCTGGATGGCGGTTTATTTTTAATATGAAACAACGATGGGGCGTTGATTGGTTATTGACAGGCAGAGTAACCGTAGCGCCAGATGATCTGACAAAGGGGGATATTACTGCCACATCTAGAACGCCATAGTTCAGGAATATGACATACGGTAATTACTTCAACTCGATGTAGGTCACTAATTAAATTAAACTCTGCCCCCCAGTGCTGGATGACTCAATAATGCCAATATAATTATGAACATTTGCACACAAGACCTTTGAGCACCAGACTCCACGAGTCTCTCCATGAATGTCCTGAACGCAGGAGGGTACGATCACCACGGGCAACAACAACGTATACGCTTGTCTATTGGTTGTACATCCACATTTCATAACAATTTACACGTTTGTCGGCCGTCAGCCAGCAGGGAGAGGCTGTCTGTCTGTCTGTGTCTTTGGGTAATCTGGCATACTAGTGGACTCATCGGCCAGATCACTTTTTGTGTACATTAGTGACTGTATGCTCAAGGATCTCTGGTGATCCACAGAGAAACCGGTTACATAGAGTCACTCTACCCGCCCGGCTGTAAGGGATTGTTAATTGTAATTAATTACCCACTTGATTACTTAAGTTATGATCCACTAAAATAATGCACAGAACTAGATCTCTGCTCTGCTGCCATGATGACTGAAAAGGAAGCATTCTTCTAAACGGTCTCATCCAGAGGGCCTCAAGTAAGAAGATGGTAAAACCTCCTAAATGTTTTGCATTGTGTTAAGTGTAAATATGTTTCGAGTCAGAACCACCAGAAGTGTTCCCGTGCTTCACATTTTGTTTATGTTGTAAGAATGCACCCTCAGTATGTACTATTTATTAGCAACACAGCTTTTACCTCTTCTTCCAACCAGTCGTTGTACTGGACGATGCTCGCCATGGCAACGTCAGCGCCCTTCATGTAGAAAGTAATTTCTCCCGTCGACTCCTCCTGAACCAAATTATAAACAATCAGCATGTTTCCCTTAATGCCAAAATGGAAAATGATATATTCCCTTTCTTATATTTCACTCCGAGTACAGAACGTTAACTTTGAGAAGAAGATGGCACAGAGCATTGCAGTGATGCAGGGGTTCGACTCCAAAACTGCTGCAATATAAGTGTGAGTTCCATCATGTATTTGGGGGGAAAACGTATTAAACGCATGAAGGCGCTGAGACGCCACACGGGAAGGCGCGTCCACACATCATGATGGTTTTATACAAGTTTCCACACCCTGACGATGATGCCCATCCTTTTGCTCTCGGAGGTGAAGGGGAAGATCTGCAGGATGAGGAAGGAGAGAATCTGTCCCGAGGGAGTCCTCAGCTGCAGGGAGGCCAGGTCTCTGTTCACCAGGGTGAGACCGACGCTCTGCGTCCAGCGCACCAGCTCCACCTGAGGAACGAATAAAAAACATTTTTAACTGACCCCATTGAAGATGAACAAGGAGCCAGTGAATCGTAAAGGCCCGACTCCAACAACACAGATATAGGATGCAGGTCAAATATATCCCACCCATCATTGGGAGTTTACTTAAGAATATGATTGATGAATAAACATCAACTATGAGAAAGAAACCTTGATGAATAAGGGCACATCTTAGAATAAAGATAAAACAGGTTAAAGGTTAAAACAGGGAAATGACTTGGTCAAGAAACATCCTAAAGCCTCCGGTCTCACTGCGCTGGCGTCTGAAAGACAAGGCACCAGAGAGTTACGGCCTCTCCAGAGCCGCCGAGCTCTCATTCAGCTCCAGATAAGTGATTTTCTGTTTCTCTTTCCTCTTTTCCTCCTCAGCAGGAACTGCGGCCCCCCTGAGTGAGCGATCAGCTGCACACGACTCAATCCTCAATGGGTTCATTTTCAATTTGCTCACTCAAAGGTTGTTATTATACTCTGACCTACAAATTGGAACTTCCTGTTAATACCCCTCCGTTTCCACCCGCCCCCCTTTGAGCTCCGTAAAAAAGGAGCTGCCTATATTTACTTAACACACATCTGTGTGTCATTATCCTGGTGTGTGTATGTAACACACACACAGACACACACACAGGATCCTAAACCCCGCTCTTCCATCTACCCTTTCAGCTGTACAGGAACTATTTAAAGCGTAGTCAACTTTGACACGAGCGGCACGCGAGTCATGTGTTACCACGGTAACAGAAAGGAATACTTTGACGGCTTAAGCTACCCGATCAATCGTTTCAACTGTCCTGCAGCGATCATGCAAATCTGCAGCGCTGCCTTTAAGCTCAACAGCAGCTCAAGCGTGTCAGGAGCATCAACAGTTTAATGCTCTTCCTGCGACGTCACACTGCTGCTGAATAGCAGCGCTGTACCACACGAACTACAGAAAGAGAACATGATGCAGAATCTCCATGAATTTATTCTACTTTGAAGTGATTAACGTCATAACCTACACGAGTCTTGAGCCTCACTCAGGACATTTCGGCTTTTCATTTGGTTGGTTTTTAATGTTTTGGTTGTTTTAACATGTATGGCAAACATTTTGGAAAGCAAAATGTTTATGTGTTTCTTTTTAAATTTCTTTACTGTAGGTATTACCGTTTTAAAACATGTTTCTCATGTTTACCCAAATAAATGCCATCTCCCAGGTTTATTGCACACAACTACATCAGTGCTGATGCTAAACATTTACATATCTTACAATATGGTTAATCAAATTGATTTCCCCCCTAAAATGACAATAGTGGCATTATGTAAAACACTGACGTTTACAATCATTGAAAATGTATGAATATTTGGCATTCATACACAGGACAGACGTAGGTTGAAATATCTGAACAATTACTTATTATCAGGGGCACAGTATAGTAATAAGAATCTGTTTTTTACCTGGTGTTCTACTTTAATTAAAAACATGGCACCTGCCATTTGCCTGGCAACCACTTTTAAAAATAACCATACAAGTGTCCAAGTATAAAGACCTGATATTATCTGCGTATTTAAGGAACCCTCTTCCCACTGGAATCGCCACTTCCATCCAATTGCACGATTAAGCACCCGACTTCCTGCAGTAAGCTCATTAAACTGATCTCACAAGGGTTGAAAGGTCACGGGGGAGGGGGCGGGGGGGCGGCTGTTCACAGCGCGGCTGACCAGCAGGTCAGATGACCCCCCGTGCTGACCTCAGCGGCCGGCCCACTTCATCTCCTTAACGACGGCTCGTCACATAAAGAGGAGGCCGGGCGGAGAGCCGGGGGCCAAACCAACCGGCGCTGACAGGGATCTGATGCTGCCGTCGACCAGAGCGGGGAGACAAGGGAGGGGAGAGGGCTGCAAATAAGAAAGGACAGGAGAGGGCACAAAGAGCGGAGTACAAGGGGAAGGGAGCGCCGCGCCGACAATCACAGACCTCCACCTCTCATCGTCTCCGGGAGGAAATTAAATATTGATCAATTCAAGTGAGAGACAAAGGAGAGAGGAGAGATGGAGCAGAGTGGGCGGAGGTATAAATAAATATATACATCAACTCAGAGGGGGGGAGGACAGACGTGCAAAATGAAAAAGCTGAGATTTATCTTTTTACACCTTTTCGTTATCTACATTTTGATTAATAGACTTATAGACTGGATCTGCAAGTCTCACAGAGGCTTCACAGAGGCTCTGTGTCGCAAGGCGATAAACATGCCAACTGTCCTAAAAACGGGTGCGTACGTGAAGACGAACGACCCATCGATGCGCTTTAAACTTCTCTTTCTGCAACTACTGACAGTCACTCCTGATCAAATATCGTTGCTCGTCTTCCCGCTAATCAATTATCATTCGCGTTCTACTTCTCTATTGATAAATTCTCCAGTATGATTAGAGATGTGGGTTACACAGAGAAAAGGAAGCCTTTGGGGATTGTTTCTGTGCTGCATCCTTCATTCACCAGAGAGGCATCAAAGTGGCAGCGATGAAGTGGCTTAACCTCACAGAGGAGTTTGTGACCTCCGACTTTGGGTTCATGAAGTGACTATTATGAGAAACGAAGGTCATTCAGGACGACCAATAAAACGCTGAGTGGAGCCAGGAAACCACAGAGGGACAGATGTTTTTCCGTGATAATCTCCTGTGGTTATTCTCCCCAGAAGGGAAAACGTGTATGAAATCACAGACGTGAGACATAAAAAAAAGGCTAAATCTCGCAAAGGTTAAAAAAAAACAATGGCTAAAATGTTGCAATAACCCTCAAATCCAAGTCAATGATTTAAAACAATGAGGAATGAGCATTTAGTATGAAAAAAAGATGTTTAGACAGTAGTCGCGTTTACATTGCAATTGTCAAGCTAACCTTAAAATTGTTACACACCAAGTGTGATAGGCACATTTCCAGCAAACAAACGCTTCTTGAGAGTATCGTGGTCAGAAGTTACACGCTAGGCTGGAATCAGCCAGCAAACGGAGTGAAAGAAATAAAAGCTGTGAACAGGAAACAAAACATCCAACCAGCTACGAGGCACAAATGGAAAGACGTCTTCCTAAAACTATTTCAAGTAGGAAGATTTGACTTGTTGTTGACCATGGTGTCCCGAGAGGAACACAATGCAAATATCCAGGGATTCTCCAACAATGGAAGCAGCTGATCAGTCACCTTAACTAAATGCTTTCCATTATCTGTTTGCCACATCAAATCTTTCACGACCGCGATTTTAAAAACTTAAATGAGCGGGAAAACGTATTTTTGGGGTTTTGAGGACCTTTTTTAAGTTTTAAACGGTGTCTATTTGGCGTTTTCTAACGAGGCGCTGACACTTGAAAGATGTTGACGGCTTGTGACATGTTGCGCTGCAGATACTCCCCCAGAGGTGTTTTAACATTAATCTGGTTAAATAAAGGACACTGGACCCCTTGGACACCTTTCGACATGCTGATCATGAGTTGCAAGTAGAATAAGGAACTAATCTTTGGAAGCAACCTCTGAAAACCAACATCACCAATCATGCATTTTAATTTAAATTTCTTAAAAATAACCTTTGACTCCTGTTTTGGATTCAAGCTGGACGGGCTGAAAACCACGTCTCGTATTTACCTCGTCAGGACTGGAGGCCTGGTAGGTGCGGTTGTCATCGCTGAAGTCCTGGTCGGCTTCGGCGGACTCCGTCTCACCGTTGACGGCGGCGTGCGACTCGTAGACGGGCGTGACGTTGTGGCACAAGGCGATGGCCTTCACCGCCTCGTGGATGCGACTGCTGACACTCTTGCGGACTTTCGGGCCCGACGTCTGGGGCTTCCGCGGCAGAGTAGAGCCACTGGGGCCGCTGTTGGAGGGCTGGGAGGTCACCTGATAGAGCAACAGACGTAAATGATGCCTCGCTGTGATATGTCTGAGCGATGGCTTTAGCACGCCATCATAGCCAAAATATCACCATTACATGCATTTGTAGGCAAATGGCTCATTTCCATTTAATGAAATAAGTGACGAGTATAGTCTAGTATACACCGCTTAAGAAAATAAAAAAAAACTCAAATGAAATATGTTGTTCAGACCAACAAGTTGTTGGTTGTTGTGCTTCCACAGATCTAATCTCGCGCTCGCAGCCAACTCACACCACGAGTGTGAACGGACCCCCTCGACACAGCGACGATGTCTCACCGACTCCAACGCGTCATATCTGATTTGGGGACCTTTTGTGTGTTCCCCTGTTTTGACATCAGCCATCAGTTTGAGTGGGTGGTGAGTTGCGAGCAGGCAGACAGCCCAGCTGCGTTTGACAGGAGGGGACGCGCTCTATCGAAGCATTTGATTTCAGCTGATTATTAACCTTCGATCCTGCCAGAGGGTACAGGGAGGGTACAGTAGGGATGACAAGCTTCATCAGGAGTGACAGGAAGATCAATAAGAGATCATTCATTGGGGGGGTGACAGCGGACGGGTTTAGTGCCTGAGATACACGTACGAGACGTTCGTGAACGCACAGCAAATGAAGCTTTCCTAGTGAGAAGAGCTGCATTAGGTAATTATAGATTAGTCAACCAGTCCAACAACATTCGAAAAGTGTGCATACACCAGAAGAACAGCAACTAATGTTTACTACTATTATTACTCTTCAAGGAGAGCATGTTTTCTCAACGTTTTAAATACCGTATGAATTATTATCTGTATATAAAAAATACTTTAGAGATTTAAACAACTTTCTTGTTGCGGCCCTAATCTGAATGGATGGACTACTATTCAAGAGAAGTGTCCTGTAATCATAAAGCTGTGATAGTAAATAAACAGCGACATGACAACAAGAAGGGGCCGAGGCTCTGCCGCTCTGCACTGCCTCAGCTGTGCCGCTCCAAAAAGAACTAGTCATTTTTCATTAGCGGAGATTACACATAAGGGTGCGGGGCAGATGGTTTCAGTGTCGACCAGCTGCTCGGAGCTGGCTGACAGCGAAACAATATCACCCTGTCGAGGCTGCGGCCAGATCTGAGCCGCGCGGCGAGGAAAACACTTGCTTACAGTATGTGGCGTCGCTCGGGTGATGCATGAGCAACGCGGGATTCTTTCCTCGAAAACGCATCCTTAGCGAAATATAAAAATGTATTTACCTGACCTACGGGGAGAGGCATGAATAAGCAGGAACAAACTATGCATTTCAATTCATCCTTTCCCTTTAATACTAAGTGACAGGTTTGGTCTGTTTGTCGTCGGTTCTGTCCAGCGTTACATGTACATCATTTAAATTTGAGTTTATTTCCTGGCAATTACTTTATACTGCTAAAATCAATAAAAAAGGAGACTATTCAGGTCTCTCTTCACGCTACGCTACAATGTCCTGCGTGGAGGTAGTGTTAATGGTTAGCGGAAAAATTAAAATGAAATTAGATATGAAACAACGGAAGTAAAAACTGATAATACTGTAATAACTGTAATATTACCTGTGCATATGACTGGACTATGTGGTTCTGGATCTCATCCATGGTGTCGGTGCCGTAGGACACCGTCCCCAGGTGCAGCCGCTTGAAGACCATTTCGTTCTGTGTCAGAGTGCCTGCATGTTCAAAGTGCCAGTTTAGAGGTTAATGAAGCAATGACATCCAATACTCCAAATACCCCGCAGTTACCGTTTCTGTTGCTGTTCTTGGCTTGAATCAACAGAGTAAGCATTCATATGTGTAATTTGTAGGTGAAGGGAAAAGATTTGGTAATAAGACGGGTTCAGGTTTCCGTTTGCAGTCTGGATGGTACCATCCAATCACGCTCCACGAGGCTTTGGGTGGGAAAGTGTAACGCGTTGGCGAGACTATCGTCTCAACGACTTTACCTTGTAATGGTTTGAACAATGTAAAAACAATCCATACCTACACGTTTGTCTCTTAACCCAGACTCCAGTCAAACATATCAAGCTGCTAAGGAGTGTCAACAAGGCCCAACACACACAAACATTTTGCCTGGATATCCACCAAATGCCAGAAATACTTGGCTTACAGCGTGCTGCAGAGTTTTTAGTCACAATGTAACAGACCATGTAGAAACTTTCAAGGACCCTGTAACAAAGGATAATGGTAACGGAGCACCTTCAAGCAAGTAGTCACGGGCAAAATCTAAAGAAAATCCATTTTATGAATTCATGCACTATTCAAAAAATGTAAGAGCAACTTGGTTTTATGCAACTGAAAAAATACATCACAGGTGTCTAAATCACACCGGCACAACATCAGAGCAAAAATGGAACATTCTCAAAGCTTTTCTGAAAGCGCGCACACACATGCACAGAAGGTGCACCATTTGTCCTCAGAGGACTGCCTACAATGCATCATGGGACCTGCAGGCTGGTGTGACTGCCTTCTCATTGACCTAATCTCATTACCAATATGGAGTGCATGTCCTCGCTGACTAACAGACAAGATGCACCGTTGCATACAAAAAGACTGAGCGGATGAAAAACAAACTTTGAAAACGAGGGCAATGGCCTTTAATGGATGTCTGTTGCCAGAATGGGTGCTGATAGAGCATAAAGCTGATTAGAGGGCATCTACCTCCCAAAAACATTAGAGCACCGGGGTTAACCAATTCTATTGGATTGATTGTTTGTTCTCCTTTCCATGCACTTTAACCATCAACCTGGATAAATAGGCTCTACGGCTAATCTTTCCCTACCTAGATCAGCGGGGTAAGACAAAGCAGCATGTTCGGGCCGCCGCAGGAGCTCATCACTCTGGCACACCGGCTAACATCAGCAAAGAGCAGCCATTTGTTACCAGAAAATCAGGCCGTGATTGTGAATTGAAGTAGACGGAGGATAAACAACACCAACTCAAGATGATTTGGTGAAGTCTTTTTTTTAATTCATTGACATGTTTTGCATCAGATCAGATTCGAGGCTTCTTGTTCAACTGCATTAAGTAGATTTGTTTTCATGGGGATTAATGATGTTTCAATACACTAGATCTTTGAACTTAATGATCAAAGTATCTTTTTTTTGTGGATTTTTTAGTCCAATTTGTAAGCATTTGATGTAGATTTTATTGGGATTATTGCATGATGTCTTTTTATCTGCTTCTTTTTAATGGTTATAGTGGAAAATTGGGTGTCACTGTTAGATTAGGTTCCACCCACCAACTATTATCCCGTTACAACTCATTTGAGTGTTATTTTGTTCTAATTGTCCAAAGTATTCCTTCATGTCTGGTAACACGTTGTGAATGATTGATCGCCGGGATCAGGGACTGAACGTGTGGCACCATAGACGCTGTGCAAAAACATTACAAAAGACTAACTTGACTAAACCAAAATAATTAGGCACCGACTTAAAAGCTACTGTAGAGGTGGGATTTTTTCCGTAAGCCTGGAAACTTACCGGTCTTGTCGGTCAGCAGGTAGACCAGCCGGCCAAGTTCTTCTGGGATGGTGCTGGTCCTCACCACAGTCCCGGGGATGTTTTCGTCCTTCATGATCATCCAGCCGTAGGCCGACTTCCCCATGTCCAGGTTTACACGCAAACTTCACATTGGAAAAACAAAGCTGGAATGTATCACAGAACTACCACCAATTAAAACAAAAACTGGGACAGAAACTGAATTAAGGTTTCGGTACCTTATGGGGATGATGTAGGAGAAAAGCACAACAAATCTGAAGAGGTTGCGGAACCAAGGACCCACAAACCCTTGCACTGCCACCATGACAACAGACAGAACCACTTGGGCCAGAAACAGGGCCTTGGTGAGCCGGTTCAGCTCCAGGTCCAGTAAGCCCACCTGTGGGTACAAGAGGTCACAAGATGCAACCACATCAAGGCCCATTCATTTCCTCCAAGCAGGCTCAGTGTTTCCCCTTCCATCATATTACTCTCCCCCTCTTGAAGGTACAGTTCATTTTGTTTGATTAGATTTTTTATATAGCGCCAGATACAACAGAAATAATATAAGTAATAAGTAAGTAATAATAAGTAATTTAAGAGATCTTGTTCATTAAACACAATAAAAAGCATTGTGCTATTTATGTCACGTCAAGTAGACAGAGCCAGTAAACCTCGGGGGAACTTTTAAAGACAATGTGATATGAGTGGGAATTAGGTTTGGCACTTTTAACACTCCTTCACTTGAGGACAATGATGATTTTCTTCAATTGGAATCAAATCATTTGACTGGAGATTTAGAGTAAACATCTTTTTCTGACAGCTTACGCTCGAGAAGACTCTTTGTAAAGCTCCATCTGCTCCCAAAGCCGGACAATATGCAACACAGAAAGCCAGTGAAAGACATTCTTAGCTGCAGGCTTTTATCATGCAAACCATGTGTACGACTTAAACACGTTTATTGGCCACAAGCTGCATTATTGTAATGCCCAAGTATTGTCCTTGAATGAGGGTCAAAGGGTCTCAGATAGATAAAGTTCCAATATTGAAATGGCTTTTTGGAAAGAGAAAATACAACAAAAAAAAGGGGGGGGGGGGTCAGAGTTGGCCTTTATTTTTTGAGTGCATCTCCCAGCCAATGGAGCATGTGGGAAAAAGATGTCAAATAAAGAAGTGCCCTTCCCCTTTTCTGGCAGCGCTCACAACGGAGCCCTGTGCACAGAGAGCTTTCTTCTGACGCACCACGCTTACAAAAACAGCAGAACATAACATCTCTCCTCCCTCAAATAAAGGGAACTGGCTCTGAAAAGGAAGGGAGGGAGAAGGGGGGAGAGGGGGGTGCAAGTGTGTATAAAAAGCTGCGGAATTCCTCCACCGCCCCAAACCCCCACCAGGCCCATTCCCCTGAGGACTGGGAGGACTGGGAGACCAGTGTGACTGTTAAAGTCCCAGTAGCAGGGCGAGCAGGAGAGGAGCGTAAGGAGAGCGACATGGTTCATGGTTGAGCTATTGAGAAAAATAGGGGGTTTGGGTGGATTAAAATGAGTAAAATTAAGACTGAGAGCTCAGTAGGTGCCTGGAAAGCAAAGGATCCCCTTCTGCTTGAACAATGGCCAGTTGAAATTTTCCAAGCTCTGGCAGGGATCAGATGAAGTCATTATTCATTCAGTCAAGGGGTGGGAGGGAAAAGACTCAATTACCTCAACCTAAAGATGCTATCAATGAATTAAAAATTGCATTTTTTTACTCCATTCATCTCCAAGCCATTAAAATGGAAAGGAACGAATCAATCAGCCTGGGCGGCTTGTATTTCCGCCACATGAATATCCATCGGCCTAACACAAGAATATCGGGACCTCAGGAAGGAGTGGGCAGTTTATAAATTATGGAAGTCAACAAAGTAAATTGAAATGGACTTTTTGTTTACAGTTTGAGAGCCTTTTGCAGACAGTCAGTATCGGGTGCTTTGATATCTACTTCAAACAAACCCTCCTTATTGACGAGCAGCCTCTCGCCCAGTGACATTGTCCGGCCTCTTTACGCGGATGGAGGTCCATCTCACAATGCCAAGACAAAGAGCGAATCCATGGCTGACTCTTCTGTCAGATTGATCAACTGCAGGCTTTGTCCTGCCCGGTGTCACAACAGATTATATGAGGCCAAAACGTTCCTGCGACTTTAGCCGCACTGCATCGACTTTCCATCCCCGATCTCCAGTCTGCGTATTGGCACTTCAGACATCATCTCCTTGAAATATTGAATTCCTCTCAGCTGTCGGGTTTACACAAAAACCGCGAGCGAGCAAACTCGCCCCGCCCCCCGCCGCCCAGTCCTGCCTGCCCGCCCGCCCGCCACTGTTCGACCGGCCACATCAGCGTTCCCAATAAAAGACAACGGTGTCAAAACTGTGCTGCTGCAGGGGAAGGTGTGTATGTGCCTCCAGCAGTCGACCCGCTGCGGTCTCGCTTGACTGTCCGGGTAAAATCTTATATTTAGAAGCAGATTTTCATCCATCTCCCCAATCTAAGGACACAACACTCAATGGGGATTCCGCGGGATTAACTTTCTGCTGAAAATGCCATTTAAATCCTCGGTTAATTTGCTTTTTGGTTAATTAGCACCCAGCGTTGACCTTTTGGATGGACAGGTCCAACTTTATCTAGAAAGTCAAGGTTAAAAAACCACCTCCCCATTGTGATGGATTAGTGATTAGAGTCCAGAAGGGGGAAAAGCGATGGCGAGAGGAACAGATGTTACTTGTGCAATGTGTCTCATCCACTGAAGCTTGTACAAAACAATGAATTAAAAAATTAAAAAAATACAACAAATCAAATATTGTGTCATATTGTGCATATTACCAAATCAGTTGAGTTGGGGGGGGGGGGGGGGGGGGGATAAAAAAAAGGGGGACCACTTTTTTAACTGAGGATTTTGTACCTTGTGTGTTCTAACATGAAAATAAACAGAAGCTCCTTTAGGTTTGGACTATTAACCATTTTGTAGGCCACATTTGAATGAAAAAATACCCTTACATTTGAACTAGCAGCAACTAAAAAGTCTCAAACAAATCACAAAGCTACAGGAACAACCCAAAAGGGTATTCACCTTGTTCTTGGCATAGGATGTGTTGAGTACGCTTCTGGTCTCCTTGCCGGTGTAGATCACCACCCCGATCACCGTGCCTGCCAAGGAGACGGACAAGGAAAGTAATGCTGCTCATTAACTGCACCCCCCCCCCCCCCACACACACACACACACACACACCTTGGTGAAGCAAGATGAACTGCATGAGAGGAAACACAATAAGGCTGAGCTGAAGCCGCTGTGTCTCATCGCCACTCAAGCCGACAGACAGGAGTTTAATACGCTGCCTTCAGCCGCCCTGTGCAAGCTCATAAAAGCTGATCAATACACTGCCATCTTTATTTGCCAATTCATTACTGTGGCCTTATTACACAGGATTAAGGGGGCATTAATATTAAATGAGCTTAATGGGAGCGCAGAGGAAATAATAGTAAAGGAAATACAGCCCCGAAAATCCCCGAACTATTAAAAAAGGCAAAATGGGCAGAAAACTAAAAAAGTGAAGAGCAGAGAGACTGAAAGGTGACGAATTGCTCTCATTGACTTCATCCAGAAATATGGGGCCGTGTGACAAATGGTTTGCGGCTCAGCGTGCAGAGGGGTCTTCAATTTGAATATGCAAACAAGCAATTCTCTGGTCACAGCTGGACGGGGGCCTGTGAGAGAGTGAATGTGCGTGGCGATCTCGGGCCGCCTCGAGTGCCCAGAATGCCGCTGAGAGTCTGTCAAGGAGAGGCTTGTGGGGGATAATGACATTCCAGAGCAGCGATGATGTAAGGGGTCCGAGTCAGGCTTTCTAGTGCCAGTCTGTGGGTGTGTGTGTGTGTGTTTGTTCTTCTGGTCAAGGTCAGGCCAGAGGGGAGAGCAACAACCGCAAATCAATGGCGCGGCCGTCGCCGAGAGCGTCGCAAACACTCAACTGACACAGGCGCTTCTGTGGGGAATCGCTAAGTCGTAGCGAGGGAGGATTACCTCAGCTCCGGGTATCCTTTGAACGAGCGAGTGGCGGTATCAAATCGAACTCTTTTCTAGGTTTAATGCGCCGACTCTTTGTGGCGAGAGGACTCGAGGAATCACTTAAGTCGTTGAGCAACAATGACGAGGAGGGATTGGAATGGGTTTTGTTTCAGGGTTTTAAGCCATCAGCTGCGTTTATGTGAATTTAAATGTTTCTGCTGTGATCCACGTTTATCCTGCTGTGTGACACCATGGGGGGGTGGAGGGGGGATGGGTGGTCAAATGAAACAAGGGGCCCTGTCTAGACATATGATCCCAACACCCCTAATCTTTCTACCAGTTTAACAGTCCCAGAATGACATGAGCGCTCTTAACAGTGTCCTCTGTGATCATAATTGCACATAAAAACAAGTGGCCATCTTTTAACGGTTTTGACTTTTAACTGTCTGAATGTAGTTCTGATACCTCTAAAAGACCTACAGAAGTAAATAAGACCAGCAGGGAGGTTATTCGCTCTTTGTATGTACTTATTTGACTAAATGGATGGATAGATTTACAACACAAATGTCATTTCAAGACTAAAAACTGTCCTTGACTTACCAGATGCAACAACTGTGCTGGCCCAAAGCGTGTTCTCAATACTCAGACTCTCGTGGACCTGTGGATCTGCGTCTTCCTACGGGGAACATTGGAAAAGGAGAAGACACAGATTTCAAGATTGCAATTTCAATATTTCTCTAAACGCTCACATGTCTACAGAGCTTCAATAAGTGAGGCTTGTAAGTTAATAAATATGTTAAATGATTCAAATGCATACAATCAATGACTAGGTGAGAGATACCTGCTTGTGGAAATAACTTTTTTGCCATGTAGCTAAAACAACATGCAGCCATGAACTTGAGTATAAAAACGGAATTATCTTTTTGTTAGAAACAAAACTAAAACAGAAGCAAAGACCGGACCCCCATAGTTTGTCATTTCTGCCAATTTAGTTTTGTCGAGGCGGACCGAATTCTGCCAGAAAATGAAAGTTTTTGGTGTCTGCAACGGAGGGAAAGGAGCTCAGCTGAGAACCCACACGGCCTCCAAGGTGCCATTCATTTCCCAAAGCACCTGACACGGTTGTGCAGACTGTAGCAATACACTGGTCCCCTTTATCAATACTTCCACTACAACTGGCATGATAGAGGCTTCTTTTAAAACAGTATAGAGAGGACACATAGATGAGATTTCAGTGATAAAAAAGGCCCAGGAGAGCCTCTTGTTTCAACCCCCCCACCCCTACTCTGCTTTACTCCTCTCTCTTAAAGACGAACGCTGAAAAGGGCTGGAAAGTGCAGAGTCGGGGCTCCGGTTTCGGCTCAAATTGCCTGCCCGATATGATAATTATGATACCTAAGCAGCCACATCCTGTCAATCCACTCAGACGCGGGAAGAGGAGCATGAACCATGAATGACAGAGCGTCGCACTGCGGTGCTCATAACTGCAGAGGGGGTCTGGATAAAGAGCGCAGAAACAAAGCCACCATATCCTTCACGAGGAAAAAAAGAAAAGAAAAGCCCTGATAAATGGGTACGGTAATTTGCTGCGAATCTGTGGGAACCCTTTTTTTTTTTTTTTTTTTTGCTCTCCCCCCATCCTGCTCGGACTAAAAGCACACACTATGCAAAGGAAAGCCGCGGAGGATGAATGAGCGGAGGAAGTGCTCGCTCACTAAGCCTGGTGTGTGGCCAAGAGTGAAGACGGGCCACAAAGCCTCCCATTGTACCGGAGCCCTCCTCTCTGTGGGGGCTGCACTAATCTGCTATTAATAAAAAATAAGAATGAAAAAAAAAAAAAAAAAAAGAAAAAAAAAATGGGAGAAAGAAAATTCAGAGCAACAAGCGGGACGGATGGAGCTCAGAGAGAACCTGCTTGTGATGGAAGACGTGTACGGCTGCCTGAGATAGCAGCCGGCCTGAGGAGCGCGCACACAGGCTCTCATTGTCCACACACGCGGCAGTGATGCACGTCTTCCACGTCCATCCGGCTCCTACAGAAATACTGTGCGAGTGTTTGACAGGGGGTAAAAACGTCAGCGAGCGACTGTACCCGTGTGAAGTTCCCCTCGAAGCTGTGGATGTCCAGCTGAGGCCTCTGGGCGTACACGTAGGCGCTGATGGAGAACAGATCCTGAGACAAGGAGGCAGAGGGAGGCCGTGAAGGACGCAGTATCAACACATTCATATCAAACATTTAGCACCACGCTTATTCAGATTGTCTTTCGTACTGACAAACAGTTCTACTATTAAGGGATATTTTTTTTATTAATATGAAAAATATCAATGTTAATTTTGTAAAGCTCACTTTAGTTGAGTCTCAACTAAACTACGATGTCAATGTACATGAGCATGAACATTCATTCCTAAACCTTGTTTCACACTTATTGTTAAATTTTATGGTCTTCAAGTTGTCATGGAGACAAATGGACCTCTAGTTAAGATACAGATTGAGAATATAGATTCTCTTAATTCTCACTGCTGGTGGGAAATAAAGAATAACTATTATTGTTGGATGCAACTGAACTGAAATTATAGATACGTGAATTTATATATAGATATATATATTCTTAAACAAAACAGAAGCAATGATACATATTAAACCAACATTCTTCCTCCTAACATGTGAGAGTGCAGCCTCTGGCCTGCAAGCACCAAACCTTAAAAAAAAAAAAAATCAAGAAAAATCAAAAAAAGGACCAAAATGTAAATATGAAGTTATTCAGGTAGCTGGCTGTGCAGCGGCCCTCGGCCGTGCTCAGATAATGTTCTCCTGGTGACAACATGGGCAGAGCGGTTAAGACAGGACAAGGAGAGATTATTTTAGTGAAGCCCCGATGGAGCGTTGTGCTGCTCCAGCATCTTACAGAGGAAAGCTCAGAGAGATCATGAAGAACAAATTGGAAATATTTAGTGATTTAGAGCAGAGGAACTACGACCTTTGGGTCTGAACGTAGTCGGTACTCCCAAGTTGTTGGTGTTCTGGCAACTTGAAATGTGAGATTCTTAAGCGACTGATGGGGATTATCTTCCTTTCTTTTTTAATTGGTCCAGCATTGAGGGAAACACTATGGACAGGTTCTGCATGATTGGTTGTTGTTGTTGTCAAGGGGAAGCCTCATTTGGAAATATCTCGAGGTGATTCATTGCTGGTCGGTAACGGTGGAAACGTGAGAGAATTGGAGAAGGGAGAGTGGCCGGGGGAGTTTCAGAGTTTGATGTGCTAGCGTACAGAAAGTGCCCCTTGATGTCATTTAAGACTTTCAAGGATCATGGTTGAATATTTTGATGATTTAAAAATGTGGATGAGATAAAAAGGACACAGCGAGACGAGTTTGGACACTGATGAAAAGGGAAAAAGGTTTTATCTTTGTGTCAAGTCTGTTCCATAATTGTGTCAGGCAGCAAAATCTTGAAATAATCTGAGTCTGTGAGTGGCAAAACAAGCCCTTTAGTGCCCGAACGATTCCAGACAGCACTTGCCGTCTTCACGTGGTCTGTAACTCTACCCAGATGCCACGGCTCATTCATCAAAACGACTCGCTGAAACTTTAATTGTCTGATCCCACTAAGTGTCAGAGGAAGCAACAACAATCGACTGGAGTATTGGGTATCGCCTGCAGGTAAAGGGAAGGTGCAGTACGTTCCTGCTGTCTGTCATCGGTGATCAGGTTTCCATCACGCTCAGGCGACTTCATTTGATGAGCAATACTTTCAGTGATAACTGAACACTCCTTCAGACTCGCTCTGTCCGTTACCAGCGGTTCACTCCGGCGCCATGTATCCGTACCCCCACTGCAGGAAGCCGCTGCGTGCACCCCACAGCGACCTTCAGCTTCCAGTCCGTTTCTCCGTCCAGCTGGTCCGTTCTGATGAAACACGAACCTGAGAAAAGACAAAAGGAGGACAGAAACAATCAAGATTGATGTTTTGAGTCTCTGGCCAAGAAATAGAATTACAAAACACAAAAAAGCATTGCAATAATTAAAATGTGGGTTTGCGAGTCTTTAAAATGTAAAATAAAGTGGAAACAGAGTGAACTTTTGGAGAAACGCAACATGACGTCACTGCGGAGGCCAATCACATAAGCAGCCATCAGGGGCCATTCCAGTCAAAAGGGGGCAATCTAATGAGCACACCTCAAATGGGGCGTTTAAGTGAAACTGAATTGTTAGAGAAACCCAATGCTTTCATCTTTTACAGTTTGTCTCAATCTAAATCTAAGGTATTTTTATGCCTGTATCACATAAATACATGGCACACATCTTAAAACAATTAAAACACATCAGGCTTATAAAAATGTGTTATTGTAATAAAGTCAAAGAGCAACAGCTCAGAGCCGTATAGCCTGTCGCACAGCGCAGAGCACCGGCCGCTGCTGTGGACACCGCAAGGTCCGCTGGACGCTGAGCACTCGTGAGCCGTATTGATCCGAGGTATTATTACATATGAAACTGATGGATGAGAGCAGCTATTTGACAGAGAGGGTAAAGGGCAGCTATAAACCATCTCCGGAGGGTTAACCATGATGGAAAACATTAACACGAGGAGGATGAATCATGACTCCCTACTGAGGCAATGGCACTCGCACACCATCACTAAGTGTGTGTGTGTGTGTGTGCGCGCGCGCGCGCTTACGAGTATATGAAAGACAAAGTCCATGTGACCGTAGGTGTGAAAGATAAAGATGTGTTTATCTTTGTTTTTGTGTGTGTGTGTGTGTGTGTTAGAGGCATTAAGACATCAACAACTCCCTGTCAAGCATATTGACACATCAAGATTGATGGAAACAATGTCCTCAGAACGTCTCCTCCCGATGACCCTTAGATCTGCCTCAGCTCATTGAGTCATTGGAATTTGCATCATCACTCACTAAAAAATGGGACATGGATCATATTACATTACATTACATTACAGGTCATTTAGCAGACGCTAAACAGAAACACGGGCCGTCCAAAGGCTGGAAATGTGGACGAGAAAGTTACAATTTCTTATCCGAATGATCTGGACAGTTTGAAGTACCACGAGGCCGAACAAATTCAACCAGTCGGCATTTTGTCGTTGATCGTATTTTTTTCTGCATTATTCTTTATTGCAATGATTTACTAATGTTCCCACAAGGGGTAGTTTGGATTTTTTTTGGAGTCTGGTGGTTTGGGGGACAGCGGAGATAACCGCCTCGCTCCCGCTCTGGTACTCGTGTCTGTTTCTGTAAACTGGGCGTGTATGGATCGGTTACAGCCAATCAGAAGAATACTGATAACCAGGAGGAGTTGATCAGTGCTGATGAGGAAAACGTGGTTTTCAGTGTTGTGTTGCTTCACAATGATGAAGTTACAGCTACGAATGGCCTGCTCACCATTTTTCTCCGATGTTCTCAGGAATATCATGTCTGCAGGAATCCTTTGGTTCTAAAAAAAAACAGAAGGAAAAAGGTGTGCAAATGGCGCTGTGTTACTGAGCACTGTGACAGAGCCTGATGAATCTTTCTGAATAATTAAACAAGGTCAACAACCTGAACAGTGGGCTTAGGACAAGGATTAAGGACACACAGTAATGGAAATTAGGCAGCAGCTACATTTCACGTTGGCTGAGCTGAAACCAAAGAATCACTTGCTTAACATGTGATTGATATATATTTATAATTTTCCCTCCTAAAGTTCCACTTATGATATATAGATAAATAGCATAACAGTTGAGAGGAACTAAGTATCAGTTTATGGTGAACTGTCCCTTTAAATTGAATGAAACCTGAGAAGCTTGTGAATGTAGGCACTTATTTGCTTTTGTGTGCTGAATATCTGGCAATAGAACGGGATAGTTTAGTCAGTCACATCACACTTGAACATCAGCAATGCAAATGGAGCTTAATTTGGAAGGGAAACTTAACTCTTTGCCTCGTTCAAACAGCAGCTTTTTCTTAAATAGACTTGGCAAACAGCTTCTCTTCAGATACAACTGTATTATAATGAACAGCCACATGTGCGCAGTGGATTCTGAATGACTTAATTCCCAATGAATCATTTGAAGCTTCACTAGAGGCAAATAAACAGCTATTCACACATAAGAATTTGAAGTATTATTTGTCACCGAAAGAAATTGATGCATGCACAGATATCTTGAGGAAACATCACATTTACCTTATCAACGATGATGAGGTCGCCAACTTGTATGTCTGAACTCTTCACTTGAATTTTACCTAAAAAAAAAAAAAAGAAAAGACAGGGTGAATTACAGCAACTTCACATCAGAATTAAACTGTTCCTCTACAATACATGCTGTGAGTTTCTAAATCACTCTAAAATTAAATATTGGTATTGATTTCTGAGACTTGAAAATGATGCCGACTCTCAAAACCACAACCTACTTTCTGCCATTTCTCCCTCCCCTTCTAACAGATTGATTACCTCCAGAGTGAAAATGTAACACCCCTCTGTTTTCATCTCTGCACAAAAACATCACACACAGAATTCTATTGCCTCAATATCCCCTGCAACCCTCCTTCTTCTTCTTCTTCTTCTGTGCTCACAAGCACACGAAACTTTCTATGTACATGCACATGGAGGGAGTGTAATGAGACATCCTCGGCCCCGGTCACAGATCCCACACGGGGGGATTTCACCACACATTTAACAAAGGGACAGAGCTCAGAGGCTTGAGGATCGATGGTACTGCAGCGAGAGGTGGATCCAGTGGAGGCCGTCTCCTGACTGGGAGGGTGGGGGGGTTTGGGGAGACAGATTTCTCTCTCACCTCGCACTGTGAGCTTGCTGTAGAGTTGAGAGTTCATCTCTTTGTCCCGTTGGTAGCGACGCACCTCGTCCACGGCTTCTCGCATTATTGTAACGGCTAACACGAAGCCCTGGGTGACAAACACGTCATTGCTTAGAAAGCTTCAACAACAGGGTTACACAGATACATTAAAAAAAAAAGAGGAAAAAGGGGCAAAATCTCACAAAAATGTTTAAGAAAAAAACTGAAATAAGTAATTGATAATTGGCATTAATCAACGTATAGTTCCAGCTCTAGCTGGCTCACTGCTGCATGTTGATATCAATTGGAGACCAAATCAATTACCAACATCCGTTACAGTGTGAAATCTCAAGTGCATTTACCAGAGGTGCCCAGTACGTGTACAAGTATCCAATTTTCAGAGACGGCACAAACTGGGAGCAGGCCACCACCAGGAAGTAGAGATTGAGGAAGAACTTGAACTGCTGGTAGAGAACCTGAGGGGGGGAGCAGAAGACGGGGAAGTGAGCCGCCAACAAAGACAACGACGAGGGCGGCACGGGTTCCTGAGCGCTGGGCAGGATCTGGATACACGTCAATGCTTTTTACGTCACATTAGCCGAATGGAAACTCAGCACAACGAATGGAGAAGGAAAGCTGGCCAAATTTCTTGAATCACACGTACCAAAGTGCCCCCCGCGGCTAACATGCTATCGATCACGGAGCATCCTTTAGCGTTCCATTCATCTAAGGTCAGATTTTGAATAATGCTTGCAATAATGAGCCTCGCGTCCCGTCACAGATTATCCGTCGCATCGCGATCAATTGGCGGCGCACTGCGGTTAATGAACCCCTTGACCTTTGGGGGGAAAATGCACACTGCTGAACCTAATTTGTGTGTATTTAATAATTCATCGCCGTGTTCACCGTCGATGAGAAAAATCTACGTCTCTGACAGACAGTTGACATTTTATGGCCCAGCCCAAAGGCGGCGCCTCTTAATCAAGGAACCATTGGCTTTTCTAATAAGTAAGTGTGATGGATCTCTAATGTTCGCTACAGTGTAAACCATAACCCTAAAGACGGTTAACAACCAGAAGGAGCACAAGCTACTGTGCCGTACATTCTGTTCTCCTGAGACATCTTTCAGCTGGAAGGGACAAAGTGCCACTGTGGGGACCGTAAAAGTTAATAACATTTGGAACATCGACTCAAAAAAGAAAAGCCACATCATCTGTGTGGAGAGCATTCAAAGTGCCTCACGTTACAGAATGAAGGATGAACGAATACTCACCCCAGGCACAAAGGTGAAGATGTTGTACTTCTGGTTTTTGATGGCGTTTTTGGGGTACTTCTCCTCGCATTTCTCGGGGCAGCCAAGCCAAACCGTCCTCGCCTTCAGCTCCTTCCTCCTCCGACAGCAACGAGCCAGGCAGTCGCAGCAGCTGAGAGAACGACTTGGAAAATTATCCAGTGGAAACCTCCCGCTGACCACGAGCTGCTGAATGCATCGGGCACGCAACTACTTTCGTCATCAGTGGACTCATTATTTGTTATACTTGGACAAATAATCATTACTTGGGGACACCTGAGAGGCTCGTTTTGTGCACACGACAGTCCACCAAACACCAAGCTAGTCCTTCGCGAGGCGCCATCACACGTGGTGGCGCTCAATCAAGTTGTAGAAACATCTCAAGCATGATCAGTGGAAACAGGATGCACCTGAGCTTAATTTTGGAATAAAGCTGTAACATACCAAGCGCAGTGAATACTTACGGGATGCACTGCAGATGCAAGGAGGTCCGCCCCTCCTCCTATTCAGCAGAACTAATGCGAGTGACTTTCACTCGCATTAGTTCAAGCTTTTTGTAACACACAATCATTAAGAAGCTTATATGCCTTTAAATGATCTGAAAAGGTTAGTTTCTCTCCAGGAGGGAATTCCCTTGCTGATGCTCAGGCAGTTTGAGAGCCGAGGTATCCGGTACAACCTTTAGAACCACACATGCTGTGTGTGTCTGTGTGCGTGTGCGTGCTCAGACACATTATACTGCTTGGAAGAAAGCGAGGGCTTTGTTGATTTATCCTCATGTTGACGGGAACCTGCAAAGAACACTAGTACTATTATTGTTAGATTCTAAAAGTCCGAAGAAGAGAAGAGATTGTGGGTTGACATTCACTTTTTTTAAAAAGTATTTGACTTTCTAACAACCTGCTAATGACTACATTGGGGCTTATCTAGCATATCTAATATCAAACGCAAACAGAGAGGGCTGTAGAGTGGGTGTAAATTACAATGAGAGCGGCTGTGAGCGTGACCTGAACTGGCACCTGAGCGCGGGGGGAGGCGGGGGAGAGTGTCGCTGTATACCGTCATGCTGATCGACTTGGCTTTTCCACTTTTTAAGCAACTTGGCAAAACAAAGCTAAATAAATCAACTTTGGTAGAAAAAAAAAAAAAGAAAAAATAAAGTCTTGTTTGCGTTGGCCTCGACGCTCTCTGCCTCTGTGCCCGTCTGGTCCAGTTTCATAAGGGCAATTTATTTGAGGAAATGAATGCTATTCCAATAATATGCCATTTGAACAGTCGGGGCTTATTCAGCGTGAATTATTTGTGTTTTATAATCCCACACTAAGCACACATAAAATTACTGGAAAGCATCAAACTGGTCAGCTGTGAAAAATCCGATTTGTTCATTAGGGAGGTGGGGGGGAATCAATATGCAGCTTCAACTGGAGACGCACCACTAACGACGGGAAGGCACAGAACACGGAATATTCTATGAAATTCCTACATCAGTAAATGTTGCTTTGTTGGGGTTCGGTGCTGCGCAAACATTTGTTTATTAATGTCACACGTTATTGTTCCGGCACGAACAAACACACTCCCCTCAGGAAGGAGCCTCTTTAGAGGGCAAAACCTGTCAAATGAATCATTAGCTGGATAAAACCCGCTCCGTTGTGTTTGAGCTGAAAATCTTTTTGGATTGATGGTGCGCATCGAGGACCTCGACCAAAAAAAAAAAAAAAAAGGCCTTATCCTTTGTCTATGCTTCACGCACAACTACCGGTGCGTTTGAAAGCCACACTGATGGCCAACGAGCGCTGACTGACATTCTGCCCACTGCGCATACATTTACAGAAGGACAGAACACAGACGACTTTCAGAGCGGGTAAAAAGGTCCAAACGGAGGAACATGTGACTTTGCGGAGCAGCAGAGGGATTTATTACAGGAGAGCAGCATTTGTGCTTTAGTGTGTGTGTGTGAAGTTGTCTTGGAAACTACCTGAGCAACAATTCATGGATTATGATCAACATCATTCGTGTATAGAACTTGGGGTGTGTCCAGAGCTATACAGAGATCTGTTAAGGACAGGTCGCAAAATACAAATCCCATAAAAGTAGCGTAATGGTAGTAAAATTACAATCAACATCTACATACAACACTAAGGCGAGGGAACAAGACTCTAGCTACTTAGGGCCGGAGCGTGATCATCTCTTTGAATTGTCACGTGTGGTTATTTAACCACACAAGTGATCAGCTGGCGTAGAATCTACCTGCCACAGAGGACTTTCCACCCCCCCAGGAGGAACCAGCCGAGGCCTCTCGGTCTTTGGTTGACTCTGGCCCGGGGCAGCGTCTGGTAGTCGCTCTCGTCGTTCTCAAAGCCTTCCTCCGACATCATCAGAGGCATCTCGTCCAGGTTGGAGGGCTCATCTTCTAGGGAGTATCTGCGAGGACAGAGCGCAATCAGACATGAAGACGCTCACCCTGGACTTGACATGGATTGTGTCCGGATGGACAGTTTTAATGAAGACGGCACTGTTGCAGCTTCATACCCATCACCCAAAAGGACACTAAGAGACAACCTGCAACCTTGTCTCATGACTATAAACTCCTCACCTATAGATGCTGAACTACCTGTGATCCAAAGACAGGCTGAGAGACCCAAAATTTTGTAGTTAGTTGACATCAAGTTTTAAGAAAGAAAGAAAGCTACATATGGCAAAAGATGTGCACAATCTGGCAAAAGCATTAAAGCTAGTTAGCATTGTCAGCCCACTCCTGAGAACTGCTAAGTACTTCTATTCACATCTTGGACACAGTGGAAGCCCTCTTCAGAAGACCCTGATATCTTATTCATGAGGCCCTCTGAAAACAAATCAGGGCTGTTTGTGGCCCGACAAGAACAATCTACATGGGATCATGATACTGGGCAAGGTGGCCCAAACCAAACGCATATATCAATACATAGAATATAATTTTATATATATATATATATATATATATAAACTTATATATAAAAATGTGTTTTCTGATGATACAGGTTGCCATCCACTGAATATTATATAATGTTGGTTTAAAACCAGCGAGAATACAAGCTCTCGTTTTGGGTATTTAAGGTGATACCTACATCTGGCATTAACAGGATGTTGTTAGGAAGCCACCTACTTAATTACTGATGAAAGTTGATACAAGAACATCAACATGATTTTTAATATTTTTAAGCTGTATAATTGATGTTATTAAAACTATTAAAACTAAAAAAAAATTGTTAGGGGCCACTGTGCTGCTAGTAAGAAAAGTTAGTCTGGAGCCCTGGATCGGGTTAATGTGTCACTACATAAACTTAAATGTGTTCCACTGTAAAGAGAGTGAGCTGCAAGGAGGGTAAAACTTCAATTCTGTCTTTTCTCAAGCTAAACCTTTGACCGAATACTGAACAGGCCTCAAGACAAAAGAACTGGGTTATTGAGAAGGTTTAGAAAGAAAAATAACCAAAAAGATCTGTAACTATATACGAGAGGAGAGATTTAGTGGAATGATTTTAAAAAGACAAGCCAGAGAAGGGATCGCAAGAAGGCAACACTTGTGAGAAAAACAACACGTAGTGTATTTAGGTAAAGAACCCGAAAATCGACCGCTGTGCTTGAGACAACCACAAACGTTCCATCACTGCTTTGTGGAAGCATTGCTGGGACTACAAGATAAGATAAATAGCCACACTAGCGTGTGTCACAACAGGACTCCCACGTCTGCTTACATAACACAACCCTAAATGCAGTGAAAACGTGGGCTGGTTAGAACAAAAAAAGAAAGCATGAGCGTTGTTGCCAACAATTGTTTCCCGCGCCAGAGGAAAATCTCAATAATAATGTGGCTTAACCAGCATCAGGACCACTACTCCCAGCAGTCTGTAGTGAGGGCATCCACGGTGGTCCGTGCCCTCCTGGACCCTATCACATCTAACAGACATATTAATACTGAGAGCAAGAGAAAGGATTATTATCCAAGTCGAACTGTGGGTTGGCAAATAAAAAGGAACCCAGCTGCGTACTTTCAAAGCCAATTAAAGTTAACACATTTGAGATGAGCTGCCATTTTAACAAATCAGCTCCCACTTTGAGGTAAATGAGGAACACCCTGCAACTACTTGGTCAGAAGGTAGCAGGTCATGCGAATAGCCGACTTACTGTCCATTCCTGACCCCGAGGGCTGCATTAGTTCACCTTCGTTCAGTCTGTAAAAAATGAACAGGCCGTTGAAATACGACTTCAGTGTCCAACAACACTTTTTTAAGCATGTGACGAAGTTGGTCAACGCAAACAGGCGATCATGTGACTGTATTAAATCACAGGATGGGACCGAGCAGTGCTGTGATCAACAAACACGCCGCTAAACTAACTACCGCCCACTGAGGCGTTATAGACTTTGTGGTGTTCACCCGGATCAAATATTAAACTATTGTCGAGCCCTACGGGTGACGGGCTGAGCGGGACAGACACCTGTCAAACGTGACAGTGTAAAAGAGGGGTCCCAACGGCTGTTAGCTTGTGTTGCTGCAAGCTAACAGCCGTGAGTCGAGGACAAAACAGCCTAACCGCCCGCGAGCGAGCAAGGCAGCGAAATGTGAACATTTTAGATAGACGTTAGGGTCCTCAGCGGGCAACCAAAGAAAACAGCCCAGCTAACCCCCTCCATACCTTGAAAGTCTGGCTGTGTGGTAATACGGTATTCGCTTCGAGTTCTTCCGTACTGGATTTAACGGGATGCTGTCAGCCATCTTGGCTGGGCAGTATACATCCTGACGTCACGTTAAAAAAAATGTTTAGGACGTAAGATGCGTTCGATTACTGTGCCGAAATAGCGTAACTATCAGTATAACTGAGAAATACTGAGATGGGAAGATTAGTACTAAAAAGGATAAATAACGTATTTTACTTTTTTATCATCGTTATTCTGTCACCTCAAGGCAACATAACACTAGTACAGTTGATTTTTAAATCACGTAAAATGAAAAAAACATTATGTTTTCTTACCAAAAGTTCCCGTTGTACTAGAAGTATCTGACTTTCCGAGAGTCTACGAATGCAGCATTTATCCATTGAAAACTAATGACGAGCAGATATCCTATTTGCTGAATGCTGATCATGAGCGTGAGGTGCGGTTGAAAGCTTCTCAAAAGATAATAAGGGAGCAGTTAGACGGGGAAAGCGTTTTTTAAAACCCACCCTTATTTTAAATTATAAGCCTAGACCACATTGTCCTACTTTGTATATTTTCATTTAGTACCAGATTAAATGAAAAAACAATGAGACCATTGCGGGTTTTTTCATCAGTCTGTGTCTCCCCAAAACAGCAACAGCAACAGCAATTTCCGGATTAATCTGAAAAACCTACAATGAACTGAAATCGACCCGTGAGGATGAGAAAATCCTGTGGTTGCCTTTTACGCTGTAGAGGAACAGCAGGCTGTGCATGTGTTTGAATTATAACGTTTGGAACTAAATATTTGAAGAAGAAAAAAATTTATGCAAAATTGATTCATGCTTCTGCAAACTGAACACTGATTGCACTCAAAATTATTATGGTAAATAAAAGTAGTTATACTAATGCTACAGGCCTACAACCAGAACATAAACGATACAGAATACACAAAAACAACATTACATTTTGTGTATCTCTGTTGAACGCTGTTTAACTAAATGCACAAACCCAAGAGGTAAAGTGTAACTTTTTACTCAGAAGAACTTTGTATGCAAAAATAACCAAGACATCTCTTTTCAGTGTTTAAACAGAGTAAGGAATTGAATTGAATGTACAGACTTTGTTCTAGTTTTTATTCAGACCCAACCGATTCCACCGTAACATTCACAACTGGTAATTGTGGATATTTATGAGCATGTTTTGTGCTTTGCACCCGCAGCATTGGGCAGCTGTCCGGACTCTTTGCATTATTGATTTGAACATATGTCCCCTTCTACAGAGCAACTATACGTCTCAGCACCGTAGGAATTTTGAGGAACATGTTAACCAACTTATTTAATGCGAACAAAAGAAAACATTCACAAATGACGGCAAAGTCAAACAGCAAAATGTGAATACCCTAGAATTTTCTGTCAATTCACAACAAGTTCTTTCTTTAGTCTATATATAATACATAAGAAAAAACGAGATGATTTACAAAATATTTTAATGTCCATTATAGATTGCATAAGTATCAAGTCTCCATTCATCTGTTCAATTGATTCCAATTTCTTTGCTGTCATCGATGAGCATAGAAGAATGCCAATTATTTCCCAGGTCCATGCCGGTCTTGGTTAGACTGGTTATTGGACTTCCTGTGGCGCTCACTCTGTTCATGCCCGCAGTCAGAGGGTGCAGCTGAGAGATGCCTCTGTTCTGGATCACTGAGATCTCGTTGTTCTTGGCGGCCAGGCTGTTGGCGATGGCTGTGGCGTAGCGGTTCCAAAATCCAGGGTCTACATTCATTGCTCGAGCTGCCAGGTCCTTCTGAAACATCTCTCCAAACTTCCCCGCCTCCCCACTCAGCAGGGCGATGGGATTCTCCACCGACAGACGCCGACCTCTTCTGGCCGGCGCGTTATTCCACATGTGAGTTCCCATGTGGACCTGAAAAAGACAAATACATTTGATCGGGGGGTATCTTTGTTTTCATATTCATATATATTCATGTGGTCTCAGTGAGTGTTAAACTACTTGACGTGGTAAGATCGTTCATTGCATCTGGCTCACAATATCTGGCAATGCCGATTCATTTATTTCATCAATTGAAAAATGTTGCTAATCAATTCACGGTTTGAGCAAATTTCTGAGCAAAAATTACAAATATTTTTTGATTCCCATCTTCTCAAAATTTAAGATATCCACAGGTAGTCACTAGTCTTTGTCTTATTGTAAGGGATTGTTGTGATGAAAAACTGACACACTAAATATGTGGGGATGAAAAATGAAATAAATATGGAAAATAACTTTGGGGTTTGCTTCAGACATATTTTTTGTGTTCTTTGAGTGGAGGGGAAAAGACCTAAAAATAATCATTACGTGACAGATGTGGCTCTAAAATAAAATCGAGGACATAAATTTATATTGTATCTTGTGCCGATTTAGCCCAGAAATGTATTTTGAAAGTGAAAACTATCATATTTTGGGGTTCCTAATTTACCTTTGTTTGCTAAATGTATGCGTATTTTGCACAAATAAATAATTGCAATGTAGTTACTTTTTTTTTGCTAAACAGGAATTGTTCTGTGTTTCAACATGAAGTTTAACGGCTTCACTTTCTCTTTTCATTCTCAACTTTTCTCTGGTAAAAACATGGAACACATTCATTCAAGATTCAAGACAACATGTGATTGATAAAAGACACAACACAGAGATAGACCCACTAAGCTGTGGTGGAATTCTAACTCTAAAATTCATTTATTATTTTATCCGAAGCTGTGCTGTCATTCACCACAAAATAAATCTATCATCTTGAATCCGGCCAGCACAAACAGCATAAATCTACCTTCAGATTGCCTTTCGTGGTGAAAGCTCTGCCGCAGATGGAGCACACGAACGGTTTCTCTCCGGTGTGCGTGCGCTCGTGGATCTGCAGGGCGCTGGCCGACGAGAAGTTCTTCCCACAGGCGTTGCAGTTGTGCTGCTTCGGCATTCGCCGGGAGGGCGTCGGGCCGAGCAGGGACGCCATTCCTGAGCCGCCGATTGATGCGTACGCCGGGGGGATGTGGACACTGAACGGCGGGTGCTGCCCTTCCGACTTGTTGTGTGGGAGACCACCGTGACCGTTCACCTCGGCTTTAACCAGGCCCGACGGCGTGCTGGTGACCTGGATGGGGATGCCGTGACCTGCAGCTGAGAATGAAAGATTTCCTCCCTTAGAGTGTAACATCGATACGTCGACACACTTCAAAACAACACATTGAACGTCAGTAGCGCGTGGCAATTTATACTTAAGTAGTGCAACAGTTTAAAAGTACCTCTTTCTCTGCTCAGCTGGAATGACATACAATAAGGAGTCTCCTCTTTCACACAGAGCTCGCTGGCCTGTACTCCTCTCAGCTCCTGTGCCGGAGACTCGCATTGCTCCCTCTTCACCGAGGCTGCAGAAGGCTCTTGGGGCTCCGGCCTTTTGCTGCTCACTGAAGGGCATTTCATGGTCACGCCCTCTGAGCTGCTTTGACCCGGGGACACTGACACACGGGGGGAACAGGAGGACTCCGACGCATTGGCGCTGCAATTCTGTGGCCTCTTCTCCGATGGCGAGTATTTCGTAGTGATTTTGCAGCTGTCATCGAAGCCATTTGTCAGGGGTTTTATGCCGAAGGAGTGGTTTGCGCTTAGAGCGGAGTCAATCATCCTCATTTGGTTCTCCAGTGCAGCTAAACTGGAAACAATGCTGGAGGACTTAGGAGGAGAATTACATTCAGAAATCAAGGGTTTGGATGGATTTACAACCTCTTCCATGTTTTCTACCTCCTCTTCCTCGTCCTCGTCCTCCATTGAGACGTCATCAACAAGGTCATTGTCGTTGCTGCTGAGGCTGTTAAAGCTTCTCTCGTTGAGGTACGCTTCGCCGTCCATCTCTTGGAGCCCGTCCACCAGGGTCGAGTCCGGAATCTGCCCCACCATGTGCATACGAATGTGCTGCTGGAGGACAACAGCGTTGGTGAACTTCTTCTGGCAAATGGGACATGAGTGTTGCACGTGAACGGGGGCATCTTCTCGGTGAACACTGACGTGGGTCTTCAGGTTCCCCTTGGTGGTGAAAGCCCTGCCGCACACTTTGCATTTATAGGGTCTCTCGCCGGTGTGAATGCGGTAGTGCATCTTCAGCGCACTTTGACAGCTGAGGACGCGGTGACAGAGGACACACTGGTTGGGGTCCGTGATCTTTTTGTCGATGTTCTCCACCAGCTGCTGGAGCTTTGAGGTTTCGGACGGTTGCATAGAGTCCAGTAAGCCACCGCTTTGGAATTTAGCGTCGTCTGGGCTGAATGAAAGGGGCGGGGAGAGAGAGACTGGGGACGCCGAGGGGACGGGTTCTGGCGTAGTGGCCAAAGGTGGCATCGCTGTGCTGGTTGCTTCTGTTACCGGGTTGGCTTTTAGTCTCAGGGAGCAATTCTGGGGCAGGTGCACCCCCTCTGTTTGCAGTATATTGGACGCGTCTGTTTCATAGTGGGGCAGAGGAGACGGTGAAACAGGAGAGAGATGAGCCTCATTGCCCCTGTGGTTGGGTGACAAAGATACACATTCACCAGGGCCTGGCTGGTAGGGAGATTTAACGGATGGTGTTACGCTTACAGAGTCATTTGAGCCTCCGATGCTGGTAATAGTGGAGGAAAGCGGAAGGCCCATGGTGGCTGGCAGAGCTGCTACAACAGGTTTGCTCTCCAGCCATGAGGAGGAGGGTTTTTCTGGAGGGAAGGACATTCCGTAGGGAATCCCAGAACTTGTTGGCACATTGTCCAGATACTCTGGTACCGGGTAAGGGTTCATCTGAATGTGAGGATACTTCTCTTTATGCCTCTGGAAGTGTACCTTTAAGTTGCCTTTTGTGGAGAAGCGATTGCCGCAGATGTTGCACTTGAAGGGTCGCTCTCCTGTATGGGAGCGCAGGTGGATCTGCAGAGCGCTGTCGCTGCCAAACACTTTGGCACAGAATCTGCATTTATGCTTGAAGAAGGGTTCTTCCGGGCTGGGCTTGGTTTCGAACAAGGGCGCGCCGGGCAGCTTGCCCTTCCTGTGCTTCATCAGGGCTGCGAGGGGGTCAAGTGCGTTGGCTGTGGCGGCGATGCTCGCCAACGGATTGGGGAAAATGACGCCGCTCGGGGGGCTCTGAGGTAGAAATGGGAGGCTGGAGGATGAGCTGCTGGGCCCCAGGGGGAGAGTCCTGGAGGAGCTCAGTGTCTGAGGACAGCTCACGCTGCCGGTGTGCGAGCCTGCGTAAGAAGGCAGTAGCGTTGGATTAGTGGATTGGAGAGCAGGGTTTGGATTTTCCGAGGGGGCCGAGGAACCAGCCACATCTTTAAAGGTGGACTGGGTGCATACAGTTAGTGAGGGGAGACCGTATGGCTTCTCCAGCACGGAGGACAGAGAAACCGCAGCTTGGCCGCTGACGGCGGAGGGCATCGTTCCCGACAGCGGCAGGATCGGAGGGGAGGCGATGCCTTGGCGAGGGAAAGAGTTCGGTGCGAGGGACAGAGATCGGGTGACCGGGTTTAGCGCCGCCAGTGTCGGTTGTCGGTTCATGACTGCGACCTGGCTGCAGATCTGCTCAATGAGCTGCAGCTGGTGGACCTGTTGCTGCTGCAGAGCCAGCAGGTGCTCCAGGATCGCCGGGATCGTCGCTGAAGCCGCCTTCACCCCGGTGCAAGCCCTGCCGATCCCCTGGGAGAACTGAGCGACGGCCACCCTGGTGCCGTGGAGGATCTCCAGCGTCACGTTTGTACTTGTCACGCCGTAGCTGCCAGCAGCCGACACCTGGGCGCAGGTGGACTCGGCCGAATCTGCGTTTTTGTCCCGCTCGAGCTCCATGGCCTCATCGCTCTCGCCGCTGTCCTCTAAATTGTCCAGCCTGACATTGTCTTTCGCCAGCTTCTCCCCCAGTTCAAATCCTGTGTACAAGGACCCGGCCACGGATGAGTCACTGGACGCCACGCTGGGAACCGGAGAGGCTCCGACAGGAGACTCCTCGAGAGCCGGCACCCTGTCGTCGCCCTTTACTATCAGCACCAAGGGATCCTCAGTGCAGACTGTCTGATGTTCACTCAGTTCAGTCCAAGTGAGGAACTCAGCACAGCATTTATCACAGGTGTGTGTGTCCTCGCAGCTGTGGCGGCGCCTATCGGTCTCATCTCTCTCATCATAGAGGGCCATGATGCCTGTAAGCGGAAAAAAAAGACACGTTAAGAACGCACGATTTGTCATTTATAGTTCTTATATTTCCCCAAAGGGACACGCCCATTAAGTTGTGAAAAATCCCTAACCGTCTATCTTTCCCCAACTCATGTTGTGAGGACAAGCATGTTCGAGGGATCCCCAAGTGTCCAAAGTCAGCAAATCTGAATGACAACAAGGGTTTTATACAGTGATGCATCTAGGGACGAATCATTTGATGTAAAGGAAAACTTTCAAATTCCACAGGCCCCATAATAACGTGACGAGGTGTCAGATGTTAATAATCTCCCAGAAAAATCTATAAAGTTCAGCAAAGTCATCTGGCCTCTCGATTGACACAGATAATGAAATCCCATACTGCACATTGCTTTGTGTTTTTGTGCATTCACACATATACTAATGTTATAGAAAAATTGTTGCCTTGCACATTCTGTTAAAAAAAACGTAAGGTTGTCTAACCTGATAAGAAGACCTGACAATTGCTAATTTAACTGGAAAACCCTGTGACTCAAGTGTTTTTATTGCAGTAAATCTCAGGCATTTTATTTCCCAAGCATTTGAAACACATGCTGTCAATTATTTATTATTGCTGTATTACCGATCAAGCTTGTGGGGTTTTTTTTGCGAAAGAAAAATATTCCTCACAGTTCCATACAACACCTCCCACACGTAACCGTTTCTATAAATCTCTTGGCGCTGTTTGAAAAAAGATCTTTAAGATGTGACACTTTAGAGTCCCTGCTCATCTGTTCAGGCTTTGCCCCATTAGGAAACAGACAGCAATACCAGATGGAAAGATTTGGGAAAATCAATAGCGCATTATTGTTACATAGACTAAGGCTTCCATTCAACAAATTCAATAAAATTAACAATAAAAAAAGGACCGGAAGAGGAAAGATATTGTGAAGGTATTGTATGAATATGTAATTTGATTTATATTTCATTTAACATATTTTGTTTTTTTTAATTATTTAGTATTTTAAAATAATTATTTTTCTGTTAAATAATTAAATGTAGTTAATATCTTATCTTAAAGAAAATGTCTTTGTGCGGGATTGAACACAATGTGTGTGTGTGTGTGTGTGTGTGTGTGTGTGTGTGTGTGTGTGTGTGTGTGTGTGTGTGTGTGTGTGTGTGTGCGTGCGTGACTGTTTCTAAAGTAGTCAATACACTCCGGTTATCACTGCGTGTCAGCACCTGAACGAATGACTCCCAGTGTGCTCAAGCTAAACACAGACTGGGATGTCGGGTGTATTTACAACTCTAGCAGTATTCGCTCAACCGATCCTGGTTCAAACACATTGTGTAGTAATGAAATGTTTGCTACGGGTCATACGCTGCAGGCAAAAATATTGTTTTCCTGCTCTGGTGTATTTTGAGATTTTTTGGAAACTTTGCCTCCATCAAATATTGAAAACCTGTTGTAAGAAAACATCCAAAATGAAGATTTATTCATCTACTTTTTGCGTCTAGGTTGATCTCATAAGTAAGCATTAGATAATAGATCATTGCATATTTTAACATAATATCTCAGAAAACCGGTAATACAAATATAAGGTTGTCTTAACCAACTGGGGAAGTTTAAGGTGAAATCTATTGCTGAAGTTTGGTCTGAGATTTAAAGAAAACTTTCTTTAAAGATATTTTTTAAGTATTTATGTTCTCAGATTCTGAGAAAGAAATCTCTTTATTAAAGGTTCAGATTTCTTTTCTGCAAAATTATTACGATGACTCATTTGCATATTTTTACAAAACTGTAATCAATCGGGACGTTTCATGGCTTGTCTTAATGCATTTAACTGTCTTACTCCGCTCTGCTTTAGTGTCTCCCCTTAACACATCTCTGGCATTCCAACTGTATTTTATCTGATACCATCATTTTTGTTATTTTGAATGGGTTCGTTTGAGTTGAAAAAAGAAGAGAGTAACCACAGATTAGGTTGAATCCACTTGAAAGTCAAATTCGTCAAAAGGTAAATAATCAGAGCGGCCGGCGCGCCATGTGGGTGGTCCCAGGATCACCATGGCGATACAGCAAACACAGCAGCCAAAACAGCGCTTTGTAACATTTACTTCCAAAAAAAGCAAAGCAAAGATCAGCTTTGATTTAAAGCGTCGAGTATATTTCCAAATACAACAACGCCGACAGAAATGTCCCCTTCGCTCAATCCACTCGCAATGTCAGGAGCAGAGAACAGATTTAGGTCTTGCTGTGTGGTTTTGCAATGGGGGGCAGGAGGGGGTCAAACAGACCCCGCTCAGTCTTTGCCTCTGTGTGTGTGACCTCTGGGGCCGCAGAGGTCAGCAGTTCGTATGTACTAATTGTATTATGATCCAGACATGGAGCACTTGCCCCGCGCAGGATGAGGCTGACAAAGGTTAAGTCAGCAGGCTCCATCAAAGCACATCTCCGAGTGGCGGATCCCCCCCTCCCCCCTAAGGCTGTGGAGGGCCCCCCCCCCCCGAGAGAGGAGGGCCCCTTCCACACTCAACACCGTCTCAACGCCACAAATGATAATAATAATAAAAAATAAACCACCGACAAAACATGTGAGCAAGTACAGTGGTGATGATGGAAATGACCGTTTTCGGGCCTTTTCGCTTTTGAGAGTTTGGCCTTAGATTCTGAACACGGCCAACAATGTTATAAATAAATGAGATCAAATGAATCATTGTACATTTGAATTTAATTTCCACACCGATTCATGACCTTCTCAAGGCGATTTTCCACCGCGTTTTAAGAGGTGGAGGCCAAACTCAATTCAAAATAGTCTTACTTTATGAATGAACCCGTTTCCGACAGTTCAAAGGTTAATCTAAATACAAATATTCTGGTGCTGTCGTGAGTTAGTGCTCTGTTAAGTGTTGATTAAGAGGTTCAAAGAGGATTTAGGCTTTCCTTCAACGTAGATAAGGGTAAAACTTAATTGTTTATTTGAATATTAAAATATTTGAAATTGTGTCAGACGTCTGGTGTATTTATATTTGAATGTTTTCAGATTTATTTTATCAATAAAATACAGAAATATGTTAATTAAGAATTAACAGTAAAATACATGTAAATACAATATTAGGATTGTAAACAATAAGTACTTTAACCAAAGCTACATTTATCAGATGCTTTTCTTCCCATTAAAATGTGAACGTTTTAGAAGCTGACAGGAAGGCCTGAGCCAAGATAACATGCACAAATAATAATCCTTTACATATTATTATTGGCCCGGTGGGTTTATTAACTGTTTTGGTGGATTTAATATTAGTTTGTGACAGGCCCTGTTTACAGTCATGCCGAAAACAATAAAAATAAATTAAATAGAGCAATCAGATATACTGTCAATATCTTCAGACAATATATCTGGATCAGAACAAATTCAAATATGCACAATTTCATTCCCTTTTTGTAATTTAAACATATTCTCAATACTTTTAAAATACTAATTGGGTGGTATTTGGCAGACTCCAACACTGAAAAGTTAAACACAACAAAATAATAATAATAAAAATTACCCCCAAAATAACTTGGGGGTAACAGAACCGGAATAAGTTAATTTGCGTATTACTTTTCTATATTAAATACTTACAAAATACTTAATACTACTTCAGAAATGTTTGGATCCAGCCCCTGTGTCATTTACCAACTTATATTAAGATAAACATTGTGCACCAGCTGCGTAAAACAGTCAAAGTGCTTTCATTTAAAGCCTACCGCTCGCGACGAGGAGTCCGCCGCGCGTCGCCTCGTCCTCTGGCCGCAGGGGCTGCGGCTTGGCTTGCTTGCGACGGGACATGTTGCTCGCTCTCTCTCTCCCTCTCTCCCTTTCTCTCTCGGTGCGACTCGCCGCGCGCCGCCCGCCAGCTCATCTACGAGCGGCGGGTGGAGCCGTTCGGAGGGAGCGGGGCCGCGGGAGGAGGCGCACGGCGACTGCGGCTGCTGTCGATGCCCGTGCGCAGATTGCGCATGTCAGTGTGATGGAGGAAGAGGATAACGCTTTTACGACTGTCGCTGCTGCCCTTCGAACAGGGGGGGGGGGGGGGGGTTGGCTGCGTTCCAGCCAACTCACGCTAGATATGGAAATGAGGGACGGGGTTTGACAATAATTAGTCCACTTCCTGTCCGCTAAGCGACTGCTGCTGATTTTTCTCTTTCTCTGGACGCACAACTCTCCGAGCAGTCCAGCATGGTTCAGTCCGACGAGAGCTCACTGTGGATGGCTCGTGCGTCTCGGGCTTGACTTTGTTGCCATCGCAGTGCGCTCCGCTTGGGGTTTACAAAGGTTTCCTCTGTGCGCTCTTGGATGAGTTTGTGCCCAAAGAGGCGCGCGGGTTTGAGCTGACTGTAGATGGACGGATGTCCCGGTGTGAGCGGACGCCTCACACACACACACACACACACACACACACACACACACACACACACACACACACACACACACACACACACACGTAGGACAGCAGAGAAACCGCTTGCCATCCATCCACAGGAGGATAGCCGGTGTGCCGAATCTCCAAAAAAAGTTGCGTAAAATCCAATTCTTGATTGAAAGACCGGATTAAATACGTGCGTAAAGTCAAAATGTTTGCGCGTGAGGAATACGGTGGCGGAGAGGTCCGATCTGAAACCGGTGGCTGTCCGAAGTGAGACTCCCCCGGTTTACCCGAGGCACCGGCGCGCTCCTTGTTGCCTCCGCCTCCGGTGCATCATTAGATGTCCTCCAGCCGCCTGCGATAGGCTACTGCCAGGATTCCACGGGAGGTGTTGGAGCCCTCACTTCATTTGTTACGACCTCCCACAAGTTTGGCGCCATAATGGAGTGAAAAAAAAAATGTCTGAGAACTACATCCTTTGAGTGATGAGCAGGGATGCGAGGAGGGCGAACCGGGGCTCTAACAATCTTGCTGAGTGGAGATTTAATGACACCTTCATTTTTGCAGTTTTTCTTTGTTGATCTTTCAGTCAAACGCCAAAAACCACAGAGGGCAGTTTTCAGTCAAAACGGTCCCTGAAATGTGGTGTTAAATAAAATAACGTGCGATTGTTTGATCCCTGCAGCCATTTCAAAAGGCGCAGCGAGGAACGAAGCCTACTTCACCAGAACTCTAATCCCTTTCCACCAGGCATTGTCCCAAAACTTGTAATTATGTGGTATTAAAAGATGCAGCTGGGGGAGGACAGAATCAGCTGTTGATAATTGCTAGTGCTACACAACAGCCTGGTATTGATCGGCGTGTCTCCTGTTCCCCTGCTATGGGGAGATAAGGAGGCCCCGCCGCTCCTGCTGGAATATCATTTCTCCCGGACCTATCAGGTTGCCACAGACTTATGATGAATAGCCAGAGTGGCCAAGAGAGGCCTTATCTGGAAACTCAACCCTCCCTCTTGATTCGATATTGATTCTCTGTAACCGGCGTCGTCACACAAAATCAAACCAGCAACTACTTGACAATGATCTCTTTCAGATTCTAACTTGGCCTCCGCTAACGCGGCAAGAAGAGGACCACTTGAATTTAATTATCTGCTACATCTGTTGGAGGAACAACTGTATCAATTTGTGATGAGCGACGGATTTCTCTACCAAGGGGTCGGGTCCACTTCAATGACATATTCAAGAATAAATTATATCTTTTCAGTTCACAACAATATTGCAGGAGGGAAATGAATACATAGAGTTACAGCAGCCAACATAAAAAAAGACGCAGAGGAGTTAGTTAAATGTTACCGCCGTGATGAGGCAGTTTGAACTGAGTCGTCACCCTTGATTACAATATAAGCTGAGTCACATCCTGGATTTGAAAAATACTGAAGTCATAAATCCTACATGAGGCTTTTACAGGAAATTATTTAGATTTTTTTTGGCTCGTTTTCACCGTTTGTTTTGGGAAATGACTAACCGGAAACTTTGCTATTTAATCTATGAGTGTTTGAGTCACCAGACTAAGTGATTCAAATATGTTATATTCAAGGGAATATACCTTTGGTCTCATGTTCATTTCATTATACATTTCTGATAATAAACATGATCAAATGTCATGGGATGTGACATAATGAAGCTTTCTTTCTGCTATAAGTGATCATTATCAAATTATTTTCACTAAAAACAGGCTTCTTTGAATCCACACATCTCCCCAATTCAGTGTTCCTTTAATGGATAAACTGCGTTTCAAACTCGAATGAAATTCAAAGTGTGTTTCTGCTACTTTGACATCAATATCTCTGAAAAAACACTTAAAACTTTGTGAAATTACGGAGATGTATCAGCCGGCTGTTCATGTTATTTTGTCCAACTCACAGGGCTGCTGTAACAAGAATCAAAGACACATACAAGTTGATAATGGTGACAGTACAACAAAGTTGCCGTCATTTAAAGTCGTTGAAAGCACCGTGTAAAAGTCAGTGAAGAGACTTGTATTTAGTCACTTTTAAGCCACAAGATTGTTACCAGGAACAAAGGGGATTTGGACAATTTGGATTCCTCAGCATTAGAAATATCTCCTGCGGCCGGTTCAGTCGATATGAAGATTACAGTAAATGTCTGCTAATGGCCGCTGGATGCAGGAGCGACCTGGGAGCCGCTGCCAGCTGAGGAATGTGAGATCTGCAGCACAAGGCCTCATTTGGAGATAGAGCCAGCTAATAGCTGCTGCTAATTCATGCTGTGCAGCCAAAGGTGGTTCACACGCCCGGGAACCGTATTCAAATTCAAAAGTGGAAACAGCTCAAAAACAATGTGTGAAATTAAATTGACAGCAAACGTGTAGAAAATGATGCATTAGACATCTAGGATGCATCCCTGTTGACAGGACAAGAGACAGTATGTGCTTGACAGTATGTGCTTGACAGTATGTGCTTGTATATGTGGCAATCTCTTTAAATGTCTTTCCTTTGTACCTTTATGAGGGGATGAATGTGCAGCCCACATGCCAGCGGTGTCGCCGTGTGAGGTGGCGTGCTCGTTTCGTGACAGGATGAGCGGGTGTGGCTCTCCCGGCGGCGGATGGGCACCAGAGTCTGTGGCCCGTTAATCTGCCAGCTAAGGTTTCTTTTTCACAGAACCGCAGTCACTCCCTATACTTTACAGTACCGTAAAAAAACACACTGGCTGTGTGAAGTTGTTCAACTCCATTGTATTTCCGTGGTGGCAGCTTTTGAAATAAATACCTCCAACCCCGTCCAGGTCGCCGGTGAATAATGTTAATAATAAACACGTTTCTGCAGACCGCAGGTACGTTCAGTTCCTGCCGTTACGGACCCAGAAACATGTTTCGTGGATACAGCTCTGTGTTACGCTTGCACAAAGGCACAACGCTGTGTGGGAACAGTTCTTTTGTTTTATTTGTGTTGCCTAAAACTAACCAATAACAACGTAACAGCGTCCAACACATAACAATGCAACTGAAAAATATAACAAATCCTCTGATTAGAAGTATCCATCAGTAAAAAGTGAGTGAACATAACCGCGTGGAGCCGCTGCCTCGTTTGATTCACGATTAAATGAAACCAAGTGAATCATAACAATTGTTTTGTCTGCTGGAGGGCTCCAGGCTGGCAGTCTGTGCAACCTACTAGATCTGAAAGAATTACACTCACTCAGCCTCTGTCTCCTTATGTAATCACACAAAAGGATTGTTTTCTCAAAAATGATCATAAATCACAGACAGGATCAATATGCCGCGCTCAGGCTGCACTGGCCCGATAACACAATCAATACAGGGTATTTGGATTTTAATTAATACATGAGGGCCTCCGCCCCTGAAACGGTGAAATATGACCTCAACCCCCTTTTGAAACACGTCCTGCAGAGCATCACACGCGACCCCGACGCCTGTTTCAGCTCGTCGTGTCGGTGTGATCTGGTACGTGAGGAGGCCAAGGACCAAAGAGGCCACGACCTACAACAAGCAGCTGCTGCGGCGCCTCATTCCCCCTCCAGCAGGGCGGCCCAGCAGGCGACCAGAGGGAGAGACGCTGCGGCGGACTGGAGGCTGCAGTGAGGCGGATCTCAGGTCCGTCCCCGGTGGGCCGGTTGCTGCTGGAGGCCCCCGCTGGAGTCTGAGCTGAACGGGTTTAAAGGATGATGGTCTCGTGCAGAATGATGATGATGATGATGATGATGGCTTCTATGTGCAGATCGGAGGCGTCAGTATTAAAGTGAGGTGACTGTTTCTTCACATGTTCAAATTCACTTTAAAATGCAGTACGATGGGATTTGGATTTTGTCTCCATCCTCCAAACAGCCATAGGTTTTTTCAGTCAAAGTAATGAGGAGGGTGAAAGTCAGAGTATCATCAAGGTGAGATGAATTCATCCTCTGGCGACCATGCATGTCTGCAAATGATCTACCCGGATCTACCCAGGAGGTGTCGAGGACAGTTTGCTTAAACACTAAAATGTCACCGTGCTCGTCACTGCGCCTCAGAGGCACACGCCTAAAAAAACCAAGAGAGCGATCGCTCCGGTCCGTCCTCGCGCCCCTCCGGACCGACCAGCCATTGTCAACGGCAACACGGAAGCTCCCTCCCAATATCCAAAACCTTCACTCAGCAGTTATTGCAGCTGAATGGGGAGCCGGTCCTTCATCCCAAAACACAAAGCCAACTGGGAATAGACCAAAAAGAAATCAAAAGTGAACAAAGAGGGATTGAAGAGAGCGCCGAGAGTGATGGACACAGCGAGACAGGCCTGCTAGCGTATGTAGACGGAGGAACCGAGCGGCCGGGAAATTTCTCATCGCTTTAATTCACTGCACCCAACTCGGCTCGGCTCTCTCCCCCCTTTGCGCTTTTATCTCACACTGTTTCTGTATTGATTTTTTTTCTTCTTTATCTTCAAAGCTGGATAAGGGGACCGAGAACTATACGGGAGTGAGAGTGAATGGAGAACTTTCCCCAAGATTGCTGCTATTCTCCCGACTTATTGCCTCCCGTCCTTCATGGTTTCACATGACGTTTGGCATCGCCTTCGAGCCGTAAATGAGGAAGCTGATGATCCCGGCGGACTGCGATCTGGGGGGAAATGGGCTCAGGTGAAAAGAAATAGAGGAAAGTTAAACATATTTCTAAAAGTATGGGACAATATCGTGATCGTGGCGGGATATTTTGCACAGGCAAGAAGGAGGAGAATGTTTGCTGCGGGTAACTTTTTGTTTTGTTTTTGAGAAAATGAGTTGTGAAGGTGTTGACATAATGTCTCCATTTAGGTCAGCGTGAAACAAGCAGGGACGCAGATCCAAACTCACCCGCGGCTGCTGTTTCTCTTACACGTAAGAGCTCCACAGTATTGTGCTTGTGGCTTTGTTGACTTTGTGCAAGCTAACGGCGGAAAAACAAAAAAAGCTGTACATTTTAGGGGGAAAATCATTTCTTCCCACAAACTTGCATGCCAATTACAACAACGGCTGCAATAAAACAGTAGTTAATTACAACCTTCGAGCGATTAAAACATCTGAGGCTTGCAGAGGAAAAAAGGACATGAAATGCAGTCTTTACATTAAAGAAACACCACGGCCTGATGTGACCCGGAGCATCTTAGCTGAAAGAGATGGGATTTTTCAGGCGGTAGATTTATTAAAACAAAGAGGAGATCACCTTGAATGTATCAGCAGGACGCAGCTTTTTCATCCGGGACGCAATTACACAGCACAGATGTCTCGAATAAGAAAAGATGTTCCCGGATCAGAGTGAAAGTCTCAATAACAAAGCAAGTCGAGCCACAGGTCGCTCTTTGTTTCAACTGGAGCATTAACAGGAACAGCATTTTATGTCAGCTCTGTCAAACAATCTGTAAGACTTTACATTACTTTACATTACGTGTCATTTAGCTGACGCTTTTATCCAAAGCGACTTTGAGTAAGTGCCTTTTAACCGCAAGGAAAAAACCCAGAAGAACAAAAAACAGTGGAATTTCATCAAATAAGTACTTTAAGTACCATAGAAAGCTTAACATAACTATTTGTTTTACCTTATGTCCTAAAGGCTGGAGAGAAAACTATTCACGTCGCAGACAGAGGGAAGCCTTGTGGTTCAGTTGTTTTCTTCGTTGGGATCACGCTGAAAAAAGCAGTGAAACCAGTTGTCTGTTTACGCCATACTGGACTTAAACTATTGTAACTCCCAGACGTGTTAAAAAAAAAAAATGGTTTGCCTTTTGTGAAAAACGTGAATGACGAGGTGGTCTTTACTGGTGACTGTGAGAATCTACGGATCCTTGTGAAGTTTAGAGCTCTTAAACACATAAAGGGCTCATCTCCCGCCCAGTAAAACAGCAAAGTCTCCGCCACTGTCTACACACAATGAAAAGGAGGCCAACCAGAAGAAGGGGGGAAAAACCAGAAATTAAAAGGACCCGGGCTGATTTTTATGTGAATGTTGACTAAGAATGGTCTCCATCTGTGTAAACCCACTCAAACAGTGACTTCCTGTGAGTAACAGTCTGGAGCCTGGAGCAAATCACTGATATTTATCATGCAGGATGGCACACGTTCCCAGGGTTACAGTCTGCCTGCTGCTGGTTCCTCATTATGGTTCAGGCCCACTACCACAGCTTGCCCTTCAAACGCTGGTTTCTTTTCCGCTCACCCCGGAAATGCCAAGATCGGATTTTCAAAGTTGCAGGTAAGATTGTTTTCTATTTTACACGTCGACGTGTTGCACTTCTGACGCGTAGGAGCGGATTTCTCTCGGTGGTTTAATCAGCAACGCTTCAGCATCTGCTTGTACTCATCGACAGCCAAAACAGCGTTTTCTGGCCACAGTTGAAATTACCAACAATAAATTCAACAGCGAGATTCGATTTTTGCATGTGAATAGTTAACATACCCATAGTTAGACTTCTCAGCAGAAAGAAAGATGACCTATGTGTGCTGGTTGACGCATTTGCCCGTCTCCTCGTGAATAAATCTCTTGGCATCAAAGCCATTTGAATTGAAATAGCAAGTACTACTTTTTTTACCCTCCGCTCTGATACGTTCTCTTTTAAAAGATCGGATTTGGCGCGTTCCCTCTCTAAGTGGTGTGTTATGGCTTGTTTTTCGGTGACCGGGCATCCCGCGTATTAATGACGCAACAGATATGCGGTCGCGGGAGCTGCATGTCACGGGTAACTGCCACGTCATGCTCCATAAGCCTCCCGCGGTTTATTTGACTAACCTCTAGTGACAGGTCAGGTTTTGAGAATATGATTTTCAGCCAGAAGTTCACGGGTCATTTATGGCCTCCCGCTGAAGGGTAATCAATAGCTGGACGGACACACGGCCAGACAGCTGACGAGACCTGTCGACGGGGTGCTGTTTGTATTATGTCTGGTCCCGCGGCCGTAGGCGCGTTTGGACGGGGCCTGGTGTTTACAGAGGAATGAGAAGGAGAGACAACTGCGGCCTGAATTGTTTCGGTTTCTACCTGACTCACTCTCTTGCTGTCCTGCAGCCGAGGACGCACAAAATGGATCAGTGTGCGTCAACCGAATGCGTGAAGGGGAGGCGAAGAGAGAGAGAACGAATGCCATGAGTCCAATCTGCTCCACAGCAGTCGGGACATTGCGTCCTGGGCCCGCAGACAAACCCTCACTCTCACATCCGGCCCGATCGCCCGGCCGCCGCACTTTGAAACGACCACTGAAGCGCTCGGCTCCGCGAGGCTGTAAACAAATGCAAACTTGCATTTCCTGTTGTCTAGACACAAGCGGGGCTGCGCTGCAGCGGCGCTCAGCCACTGTCACGGGTAGCTGGAGAAGCTTTTGTGAGTGTAAAACCACAAAAATGATAAAGATTTAGTCAAGAGAAGGAAGTTACGGTGCTGACTGTGTGAAATGTCTTGTTTTTAGAAGGTAGATTTAAAAGGTACATTATATGGAGTGGCCTTATAAGACACATATTGGACACCATGCAGCAGATTTTACAAGCTATTTTCACTCAAATCTGAATCTAAACTAAAATTATGAAAATCTTTAAACACATCAAAACATCATTAGAGAGAAAAACAAATAAATCCTTTAGAAATTTAGCGATTTCCTGATGAATGCAATGAGGTGCGGCTGAAGTCTGCCACACTCACACGAGGTAAGACGTTACACCACACTTAAGATGTCAACCATTTTTCCCCTTTAATATCCAGTCAGTGAAAAAGCCTTTTAAAGGGCAACTTGTGCCATTTGTCCCCCTGCTGAACAGAGACATCCGTCTCTGTTCAGCGGTGCGACCAAACGAGACGGAATCAAAGGAGAGATGATCATTGATTTAATCACATCATCACTTCAGGGCCGAAGTAGCTAATCCATAACTCGCCCAGCAGATCCACGTCAACGCCTGCAATCACAGCTAAATGGGGATCAGGAGGCGTCGGGCGGGACATCAGCCGCCGTCCCGCTCAGATGTGTTATGAAGTGTCTCAGCATCGATCAGGGATAACAACTGCATGTCCATCGACCACACCGGACATAACTGCATCGACGGGAGAATTAGAGGGATAATTGTTCCTCTGTCATCTTACTCTAACACGACCTTCCTCCTCTATCTCCTCAGTGTGTGTGTGTGTGTGTGTGTCTGCACAGCCTCTTAAGAACCACATTAAAAGAGATGTATTTGTTTTGCGGTGGATTATTTGGTCTCCTGGTATCAGAAGTCGGTTCTGGGATCACGCGGCTGAATAACACATGACAAAGATCCCGAGGTGAACGTTCTGTTGCCTACAGCTGCTGAAGTAGTTCTGTGTGGTTAAAACATGTTAACTACGGGTTAACTTGTGTCCATTATTCACCAACCCGAGGGTCACGGGCCTCCAAAGGGCCACAGGATGGAGGCCGGTGGGGTCATGACTTGATTCTGAGAGGGAAAAAAAAGGATCCTGTGATGCATTTGTGTCACAAGCAGTTCGGAGATATAAGATTGTTTCTTTTTGAACAAAAACTTGTGAAGTGTGGAGGAGACGTTTTCTCTCCACCACCATGATGGCAAAACATTGTGCAAACAAGCGTCTCAAAACACGAGCAGGTAGAATCCAGATATCCGGATTGAAAAGGCTTCTTTCCGTGGGTGAAGAATGCAGCCCTGGGAAAGCTTCTGGTTATTATTGGATGTCCACTCTTAAGAGTATGAGTAGGTATTTCCAAACAATCCAATGTTGTGCTGTAGCAGAAAATGCATGAATGCTCGTGGGGGGGCGCAGGACAAAGCGGCGGCGGGGGCCGTACATCTGTGAGTTCAGAAACAACGCTTTGTTTGTCAGCCTCAATCACTTGTGCTCATGAAAGCAGACACTTACTTGAAAAACTTTCTTTTTCTTTCAGGGGAGGGGAGCAGGGGGGGAGAGGGAGAGGGAGGGGGGGACACTCTAAACCTACATCCTGGTATAAATTTGCAAAACGCAATACAGGCCTGATTGTGTGTGCAGCCGACGCAGGATGCATACAAATAGAAGCGGCTCTGAAATGTCCCCTTGCCCGCACGGCTCAGTGGCTAATGTACAATAAATCAACAAAAGGGGGCTTTAACAGGGATACTTATTCTATCTTTTCTTTTTTCTTTACAGTATTTAATTGGAAGTTTTCCCTGAAACGTTACACCGCGCTTTCAACTGACTCTGCCCTCAAATCTAAGAGGAGATTGATAAGAATTTCTCTCCCTGTCTTAAAGTTTTTTTCTTCTTCTTCTTCTTCTTCTTCTTTTTTCTCTCCCTCCTCTTCGCCCCTTTGCCCTTTCAGGAAAAGCAAAGGTTTTTTTTTTGTTTTGTTTTTTTGGCCGAAGGGAGAATAAAGTTACAAGTGTGCGGCATTTTGAGCGAGGGAGAATGAAATCGGAGGCTCGGAGCAGCGGATAAGGACAGGCTGGGAAAAAGGGAAGTTGGCAGTGGCGGCGGGTCAACAGCGCGCCTCAGAGCCTCACCCACTGCACCAGGTGTCCACTTAATTCAAATGATACTATTATTCATAGACAGAGGAAGAGTATTGAAACGGGCCCCCCCTGCCCCCCTCCTCGCCCTCCCCCTCCCTCCAAATAATTTGCAACTGAATACAGATATAATCCTGGAAATATAAGTCTCCATTAAGGCTATCCCATTTAGCAAACAAGGCTCCCATTGTGCAACATGTTGTGTGTATAAATCAGTCTGAGAGAGAGAGAGAGAGACAGAGAGAGACGGAGGGAAAAGTTAAACATTCAGTCTGAGACGAGATGTGAGAATGTCACTCAGTCACACATGACGATTAGGAGTGCATTTAACTTTGTGATTTAATGGTGCCGTTTATCCTCTTCCCTGTCCGGGTTCTACTCATTCTTCATTCCAGAATAAGGGGGGGGGGGCGGTAAATAAAGAGAAAGGAAAGAAATAGGACACAATAATGAGTCACATCTTTTGAATAAAGAAAATAATATACATATATATATATATATATATATATATATATATATATACACATCATATGTGTTAGAATAAAATACCAAAATATATCAGCGCTTGAGGCGTCAGGAGGAACGGACCCCCCCCCCCCCCCCCACAGTGACAGCAGCAAAGACAAATGCTTTTAACAACGCAAAAGTCACTGAAACTGTTACAATAAAAAATAAAAGCAAATGGAAAGACATTTTCCAGAATAAAAAAAAAATACATTGAAATTGATTCAATTATTTTTAATACAACACCGTAATAATTAGGAAAAGTACAATAAAGCTTAAATCATTTTTCAAGTGCAGGTGTATCAAGAGTTTCAAAAAGAATTATGTGATAAAAATAGTCTTAGAAGGATTCTAAAGTGTAGGCACACAAACTCTAAATCGTATGCTTTAAATGCTGTGTGTTGAAAGTGTGTGTGTGTGTGTGTCTATTTTCCATCAAAAAAGTCTGTTTCAATGTAAAATGAAGTCATCAAAACACACAAAAACACATGATCTAAATCTAAATAAAATGATATTTCATGTAAACCGTGCAAGAAAGTTGGTCACTTTTATAACTTTAATATTTTCTTCATAGACAATGTGAGCGTTTGTTCCGTATTTCACTTTAAATGTCCTTTGGCCTGAACTTTACTTCATTCACCGCTGCACCTTCAATCCTGGACACGGATTCAGCCTACGACTGCAGAGACCCACTCAACACAGAAAGTCCATCAACACACACTCACACACACACACACACACACACACACACACACACACACACACACAATGGCTCCCTGTTGCCTAAAACGGGTAATTAATGGCAGTTCCGAGCAAAAAAAAGAGGACAAAAACAGCTTCAGGACCAGAAACTCCGTCCTGCTCCTTGTGTTGCTGGGAGCATCACAGACACCACCAGGACTTCACCTCCCGTCAGAGGATCAATCTAATCCTCCACAGGGCCGTGCGACGGGCGCTGCAATCACCCTGAACAATGGTCACGCAGAGGTCTGCTCCCCTCGCCGGGGACTCTGGGGTTAAAGGAGCTTTGTGGAAGCAGACAACAATCCGGCGCCTGATAACTTTTTCTCTTCTCATTTCTACGAGCGCCGAAGAGGAGTTTTTGCAGAGGGGCAATTACAGTTATTTTGACAGACAGCTCGAATTAACACACACGCTGAAAGCTGAAGCAGGGCTTCTCTCATATAACTTCACCCCGAGCGTCACCTTTTTTAATACTGGACTAATTGAAGTGGTTTTGGCTGTTCATGAATTATTAAAATCACTTAAAAAGGCACAAATCACAAATTGTTTCTCCTCAGAAAAAAAACGTTGCTTTCCCTTAACATGATACAAAGCCAAAGGAGTGTTCAACCGAGGTACCTGCTCGTGTTCAGGTTAAAAACCATCATGTTTACACGTCAGTTTATATCAATTATAAAGAGCTGAAAGTTGATCATCTTCAATTGTCGCTTGATGGTCTTACATTTATTTACTGACCACAATAATCATGTATCAAGCCATCATGCATGAACATTCTTTGGGTTTTTTAAACTATCTTTAATGTTGTGAATAAACATGCAAATGCAATTTGTTGAGTGTTCAATAAGTGATTTCTCTCTTTCAGCATTTTCTTGGTTTGTGTGAGGATTTGCTGCTTTTCTCCGTTTGATATCAGAGTATGCTGGAGATCTTTGGACAGTTAAAGCAATTTGAAGAAGCCTTTTAAGCCTTTGTCAGAGACATTCTTTATGAATGAGTATTTTACTATTTCGATCCATCGATCACTTTTGTGCGAACATTTAACACAGATTATGTCAGACAAAACTCTCTCTCGCTCTTCGGGGTCCTGTCTGCGTCTCCGTCCCCTCCGTCTCCGAGCTGAAGTTCCCATGACCCGTCACAATACAGTGATGATGTATTCAAGCAGTGATGTATGAAATTCGGGCAAATAAAAACCTTTGTCCTCCCACACTGGCTAATTATTTGACAGATTGGAGCCCTGTTGTGTGTGGATACTGTGAAGGAGCCCATCCCCCCCACCCAATAAAGAGGCCACTTGCAGAAAAAAAAAATTCCTCTATAGCCACCCTTTTCTATTCTTTGTTAGAAGATTACATTTTTTCACCACATTTTGGAATGACAAAATGGGGGAGAACTGTGTTTTTTTTCGAAGGGGGACCCCGTGTGCTCAGCCGCTGACGGAGGGGGCCGGGACAGCAGTCAGTGGCCATTTAAAAAGATTTTCTCAAGCAGAAATATTTAATCTTCTCAGGGAAAATAAAGCGGAGAAAAAACAAGAGGACAAAAAGAAGCTAATCATCCACAGCCCTCCCCCCCTCCCTCCCCCCTCTCGTCTCCCTTACTCCCTCCATTCCCATAGTCATCTATAAAAAAACGTTAAAAACAAAAGAGAGAAAGATTATTTACGATTGATAGAATGAATCTGCATGTGTAATTATGAGTTATACAGGTTCCCACATTTTATGTGAAGAGCTTGTTAATTGTTGAATGTGCACATTACACAAGAGAGACGCACATTAAAGTTCACATTACAAGTTCCAACACAAGAAAAAAGGTTTAACCTGCCAGGTTTCAGCAAAAGGAAGGCGGCATCTTCTCCGTACATCATTTCCTGTATTCTCTGTCCTAATTTGACTTTTCTTTTCTCGCAGCAACAACCTTCTGGGCAGACTTTTGCGAAAGGATCATTTACAAAGCTGGAAGCCGCCAACTTCTCTCTTCACAAAGTTGTGTTTGTGTGTGTGTAGACAACAGGTGCAAGTCGCCATGAATGAGAAGAGTCAACACCTGCAAACTGACTCCAAACCACGTATTCACCTCAAATGAACGCCTCCATCCAGACAGATGTGCATCTGGTTAACAACAGGCATAAGTGTCAGTTTCATCGGTACACTTTAACTGTACATCTTACTAAACGCTATGTGTTTTTGGTTGAAATTAAATTGTGTGTGGAAGTCAGTGTGCGGGTGTTGATTGCATGTATTTCTAAATGTTAATATCTGCTTTTCTGTTGTCAAACCGACTTGTGAATACTTACTTAGAGAGAATACTGCGTCTGCTTTTTGATTTAATTAACAAGTTGAGTAAAAACAAGCTAACTTATAACATAAAAACATTTATAGATTTATAAATAGTTTTAACTATTAAGGTAAAACTTTCCCTCTTGGTAATTACATCATTCTACACCTAATTATTTATTAATTTGACGTTGTTATTTGCTGTGATTTCAGATGTCGCTGAGCCAGAACACAATACATCACCACCTCTCCGGAACATGACTCATTTTCGCAGGCTCCAGTTTTGGGCACAACCTTGACGCTGTGGTCCTGAAGCCACCCGCGTTTGTCCTCTTGGCATCTGGCTGCGAGGTGGAGGGGACTCGCCGGGCCTCCCTGCAAGAGGCGAGGCTGCAGGAAGGCTTGGCAGCGGCCCAGAGAGGAGAGGTGGCTGGAGTATTAACTCCCCCCACATGGAAGGTTAAAACCCTCTCAAAGCTTCCTCCCTCCCTCGGCTGCATTAGCACGGAACATATGCTCTTCAAAAACATATGCTCAGAAAGAGAAATTCCCATTTTGAATGAAAATAAATTAAAAAGTAGCAAATGTAATGATGCCTTTTCAAGCAACATCAAAAACGATTAGAGGATGCGATGGCAGGCTGGGTTGATTTATCACACACATATTGTCCCAATTAGCAGGATCATGGCGATGGCGGAGGCTGCTTGACCTTCTCGTACCGTCCTCATTTGTATCGTGTCAACTCAACAACAGCTCCTAAATCACTGCTCCTCACTCCCTGGCTGAACTACCTATTGCACTACTTCAATCTGTGATAGCAAAGACAGGAGGGAGGGACTTTCCAAAACTGTGCGCTTGTGCTCCTGCAGGACAAGTGTAAGTAAAAGGAGTAATGAATAGGAACAATTGTAGGTAAACCCTCTGAAAGACATCTTTCAAAATGTTCACTGCAACTCTTATGTGGGAGTTTAAATGTTTCCTTATAAAAAATATAGGAAATAGTACTTATACCTTAAAGGTGATATAAAAATATAAAGTAGTGAAAAGCAGACACTAATTGATTAAATGTAGATAGAAAACAGAAAGTTGATACAGGAGGAAGTAGACAAAGGAGATACAAACAGAAAGCCAAAGCAAAACGTATCAAATAAATAAAGGTAAAGGGAAGTGAAAGTGTGTTGAAATGAGTCTCTGGCTGTTTGGGGTAATGGCTGACGTGTCAGCTCGTATGTCTGTGTCACACCGCTGGCCAAGGCCGCCTCCCGACTGGCCTTTCTGGGTGTCAGTGTGTGTGTGTGTGTGTTACTCTCTTTTTGGGGGGCGGCTTCGAAGGGAGCGCATGGAAATGAGTCCCATTCATCCCTCTGCCCACGACCCCCCCGGCCCCCCCCGATTGGCATATGGCATGGCATTGTCCTTGGCCGCTGAGCCAGAAGTGATGCAATTTGTTGGCATGTCCTGTCATCTCACAAACTACCCATCCCATTGAGGCCTCCAGAAAACAAGAGCAGAAGACATGGAAGGGCGGCCAACAGCTCGGCTCCGGCGAGCGCCGAGCCAAAATCCCTCCAGAGGAAAAATAACTAGCTGCATTCACCAACATGTGCATACGTTTTTACAAAAAACAACAGGGAAACATGTGAATGTTTTTGGAAATGTGGAAAAAGTGTTCGCGTTGACTGAACAATGTAAGTTAATTAATTAAATTAATTGAAATGTCATTTGTTTTTTACACAAGACCAAATAAAAGCAAAAAGTTTAACGTGGCAGTCAAAATGCAAATGACAAGAATAAAAGTGCAGCGAGTAGATAAAGATTTAGTTGTTTCAAAATCTATGTTCACACACTGAAAGCAGGTGGAATGTGAGACTGAAGGTAGGAATTCCTAATATGAGCCAAAAATCTGATGCAAAATCAAACTTAGTTAATAAGATGAATGCGATCTTAGTCGGCGGCTAATGAAGAAATCACATTAGCAAGAAGCTAACGTTTAGCTGCCTAGATCACGCTCCTCACTGCCTAATCTTTCCTCATCTTACATCGTTTATTTCTCCCCGATTTCAAGCTCTTCTGATTCACCACAATCTGTCTTTAAGTTCTGGATCAGATTCTTTTATTTGTTTTTTGTGTTGTGTTTGAGCTGGAAAACGAATTAATAAAGTGAAACAACTCTAATGGAAGTGAAAAAAAACGAACCCTTTAGTTAAACTTTAATGCCAGATGGAAGTTTAGGAGTTGGTGTGTGAATATGTTTATATTAAAGGTAGAACGATTAGGGCTGGTGGTGTAGATGATAAATTGAACTGGTGTTCGGAAGAAAGTGTTTTAAATTGAGATGAGTTGCAATTACGAAAAGTAGTGAAAATAAATGTATACGTAATAGTGTGAAATCTTCAAACGTGAAACCTAAAATTGTCCGTCAAAGTCAATGTATTGAAAGAAATTTCTGATGGAAGAGACAACAAAAAGTGATTAACACACTCAGAAGTTCAGTGACGTGAAGGCAGTTTTCATTCTGACAGCGAGACCTGAAAGCGTTGATGTGTGAGCGGTGAAATTAGTTGAAATTTCCCAGAAATAACAACAAAAACTATTTTTTAGCATCTCAGCAGAAGATACATCGCTCACACATCAAAGGAATTGATAATTCACGCAACGTCTGAATGATCTTATTCTCCAGCCGGGGCTTGACCCCAAGCTGTCCAATGTTTAATTAACTCTCAAAGACTTCACGGGGGGTCGAGGGCAAAATCTTCAAAGAATATGACCACTGCTTTGTGAAACATGCGATCCAGCTCCACGTCCCATTGTGCAGAGTTTGCTCATAGTTGACCTCACCTTCTGTTGGGACATCCCGATGAAAGAAGCGCCGGCTCGGACCGCCGAGACAAAGAGGATTTCTCTCCGGGGAAACTCTGAGCCGTCAGTGGGGGCCGCTGCCGCCGCTGTGGTCGGACGTCTCATCTGTTGCTTATAGAGACTCATGCCTGAAAAAAGACCAACTGAGAGATTAGTTGATGTTTATCTCCTTTCGTGTGTTTGGCTGAAAATGGGCGAACCCCGTGGAGAGGCTGCTTTTGTGGATTCCGGGGAGAAAACATCCTCTCCATTAACGCACAAACCTCAATTTGTCTTTTGTTCTGACATCAAACGTTGTCCACGCTCGGCACAACAGCCGAGAAACCAACACCCAAAGTGATGTTCATTTCTCTGACGTGGAGGAGTTTCCCTGTGCTGCCTCAGCGGTGAATGTGTGTTCTCATTGCACAACTCGCTTCCTCTCAGATCACTGTGGGATCTTCTCACACGTGCAGTCAATTCTTTTGGTGGATCGTGACGTCTGAGAGGCTCGTTGAAGACAGACAGCAGCGGTGTTTGTGTCATATGAGCTGGCAGTAACGTGTTTGTTTCAAATACCAGCCTCGATATGTCAGCGAAAGATACATTGTGTGATCGTTATTTATTATTTGTTTTGGTCGCCTCTTTAAAATGTTTTTTGTTTCATTTTTAATTTTAAAAGCTTAAAAAAATTGACAGAACAGAGAACACATATTATTCTAAGGAAAATAATTGAAAAGCAGAAAACAAGAGCATAAATCAAACATAATCAATTTCCACAGCTTAACAATACACACCTACAATATGCATACGGCATATCGTAGGTGGAGAGTGCAGGATGTTTTTGGAGGCCCATCTGAAGCCAGTTGAGTGACAGCGTGGCCCCTGACAGCAAAAACAATAGAGAGATGCTGGAAATTAATAAACTATTTCTAAAGATATTAACGGAAATTATCTCTATATATTTTTTCGTCCCTTGCAAATATACGTGAAATGAAATTGTCATACCTGCAGCTTACCAGTAAAGTCTATTAACAGACTGTTCTCATAGTGGGTCAGAATGATGGATGATCTCCAACCTGATAGAGACAAAACATGCAGTAAAGAGGCAACACGAAAAGGAAAGTTTTGTCTTTATGTAAAGTAAATTTCGTGGTTTTTGTGTTCTGCGGCGCATTTCTTCATTTTGCAGTACTGTTTCTTTATTTTGTGTTTTTGCAGGTACCTTTAAATGGGCAAAGCCTCTGAAGCTTCGGCATTTCTCTCGTAAGAGGCCATGTTGGCGTGATGGCACTTGTTGGCCAGAAAGCAAAACTACTGAGCAGCATGAATTCTTTATGAACTCTAATGAAAAATTATTGATTTGGTTTATTCATCTTTTCTGTGGACCCGAGGACTTCATTTTTGTAGTCCAATTCCATATTTCTCGTACGTTGTGCTCGTGAGCCACGTCAAAATCAGCAAGGCGACTCACTCCAGATGTGAACGTCACCGTGATCGCCTGTGAGCAAATGATGCTTTTAAACAGCATAATTAACCCACCATAATACCGTTGAAGGCCTCGTGTTCAGATCAAACAGCATAGAGTGCCGTCAACGGCCCCCCCCTGAGGGCCGTACAGTCACACAAGTTTTGACATGAGAAACGTCTGGGTGACGTCAGCTGTCAGACACGTTCCCGAGGACATGAACCTGCGTGTGAAGATCGATATGAAGAACTGTGCTCAGGACGACGCTCAGGACGCTGTCTTCTGAAGACACCGTCTCCTGCGAGGGTCTGACGCTCTGAGGCCTCCGGAAGAACAAAATACAGAGACCAATCAGCCTCCGAAGTGTGAGGGATGCAGGTCGTTTTGAACCTCAAGATGTTCACATTGATGTTGTGTCGTCATACAATAGCATCAGATGTCATTTTTTAAATATATATACTAGAGTCAAAAAGATAACTTAATGCTGTAATTTATACCCTGAGAGATTGTTTTAAAGTATTGAAATAGAAAATCCCAAACCACAATAAAAGCAGACGAATTGCACTTTACTCGACAAATTGCACTCGACTTTAAAAAAAGTCAAAATATAAAAGATGTTGTGCATAATAACTACTAATAAGTCACTTAAGCATAAATCTGTTTGACGGGGTAGTTGTTGCAAAAGACCGGTTGTGGTCACACAGTCAGGTTTGAATTTTAGCGCGCATGTGGAAAAAAGGAATACTTTGAGATGAATGTTGCTTTACATCAGTTCGTACTGCTTGTTACTGGAATCTGACACAATACTTCATTAACAAAGACAGTAACCCAATAACGTGAGTTGTCGATGCCTTTATTCACAGCACCAAAGCTCCGGTAAGAGTGTGAATGTGTCGTAATGAGACGTAATGTGTCATTTTGTATGAAATTATTCATGAGAAAAACCATGCAAAAGAATGTGTGAAAAAAGGCCTTAATTGTGAATAATTACATATTTTAAAGTGACTCTTTAAGATCTTTCATTGATTGATTTTCTCTTAATATTTAACAAACAAATGGCCAAAATACTCCTACATACAATAAAGAAATGTGTATTTCTCCGCTGTGATTCTGCAGCCCGTCTCTCTTCATCAATTAGGAAATGTGTTGGCATCACAGGCACAAGGGGGTTGAGTAATGCTGATGATGTCATTGACCCGAGCCACAGCTTACCAATCACAACAAAATCATAAATCGTCCCACAGATGTGTCCCTCATTGGATTAGCACGCGGCCCTTATGGCTCCCTGCAGCATATCAATCAGCACAATATGGCAGCCGCTCGGGGCGCAGAACAGTCAGTAATACGTAAACTCCTCAGGTTCCACACTTTGTTGATATCGCCAGAGCCGTTATTTCCGTCGCCGCAGACTGTCATCTTTTATTGGTTTGTCCTGTCGCGGTTTGCTTCTTCTATTCGCCTGTATTTTCTCTGTTTTACGAGAATACATATTTGCATTTCCTGTAAAGTGGAGCTCTTAGCGACGGCTCAAAGCCCGATCTTCCAGCACTGTGAAGGTTGCAGGAGGTTATGATAATTTCCCACACAATGAGGCTGCTGCTGTGAGCCTCGTACCACGAGCAGGCCTCAATGCGCCCTCTCTGCATATCAAAAACACCACCCGTTTATGCACCGCCCAGCCCAACTCATCTCATCTCCCTTCTGAGGACTCGTCCGACCATTCTAGTTCTGAATAAAGATCTCAGAAATCATGCAAAATATAATTAAGGGACGGCGAGCCGCAGATATGAGCGCGCTAATTGTTGTACTGTGGCAAATATATTCCATCGTGTTTCAAGTTCAGTCTATTGATTGGCTCCCTCTCAATCACGTTTCTTTTATGTCTGCATGAACTCATGCATTAGTCCGTCGGTCTAATTTACATTCAGTCCGAAAGCTCCACAAATGGCAAGTAAAACCTTTGAAGTAGGTGAAAATTATTTATTCATTTTTATCATACCTGTTGCTTCCCAACCAGGTATTACAATGTAATATCTGATATATTGTCTTTATCTTCGATATCTTTTTGAAGCAGCTTAGGACAAACACATCATTGAGAGACTCATGAGAAGAGAACATGTTTTCTGTGTGAGGGTGCAACAGCTGCAGAATATAAGAATCTTTCAATATTATGGAGCAAGCAAGTTGTGTTGTGTTGTACATTTCAAAACTGGAGGAAGCTATTTAAAAATGCATTGTCCAATTAGACATTTTCTTATTTAAAATGACACATTATCAGAGCAGAAACTGGAACATTGGATAAAGCCAGGTTCAAAGTGGGAATCAGATTAGAGTGTAAGGTTTTTACGGAGGTCATTTTTATTTCACTCCATAAAATAATGTTGAATGTACAGCATTTTTGCCTCGAATGTTTCCAATAAAAAAACTGAATATATATATATATATATATATATATATATATATATATCAATATAGTGTATACTTCAATATGAAACCAGGACCAGCTTGTAAAATAACAATATTCATCAGCATTTTATGGGCCTGCAGTGTCTATGAGCCCAAGCAATGAACATGAAATGGTTTCATTTCTGAATTTAGCCATTGACGTATTCCATGCAATGGAGTGAGAATGTGTGTGTGGACGCAACCATCTACCCTTAAATCGGCCGAAACCTTCACCGCAACTACACTACAATCACTCATTCTTACGCCAAACATCTCGCAAGTATAACAACATTATTTGAAAATCTCTGACTGTAATGATTAATTAAGTAAATTACTCTGTAGTGCACACAAACAACATCGAATCGTGTTGTAATTTAGGTCACAAACAGGCCGGACTCATTAAAGTATATCAACAATAAGAGTTGTATGTTGTCAATATTTACAGGGATGTGTATATGTGCATGTGTTTTAGCAACTTTCTAATTGGGTTTGTAATATTAGCACAACTGGCATAATTATTACAGAATGAATTAGCACAATCAATACAGAACGAATAACTCAAAACCCAAACAAAAGCTGCTATTCACCCCCCATCTGAAGGCACTGGTGGATCCTCGCTCGCTGTGGACGCTTGATGTACACGCCTCCTTGTCAATAGAGTGTTGTCTGGTGGGTACTTGAAAATGCATTAACCTACAAACCAGGGGGAATAAGCCAGGGAGGCTCCGCGCGGAACCAGTGAACCCATTAAAAGGTCTGATCACAGCGCTCTGTTTATGAGTGTCTTCCACTTCATCCTAATGTAGCTTTTAGATGATGCTAATAGATCACAGGCCGTTGTGATCAGACACGGTAATGGACCTTTGTCACAGCTTGCTAAGTATGGCTTCAGGGCGACACGCACACACACACACACACACACACACACACACACACACACACACACGTGGACAGACAGATGTTTGAATACAAGCACAGAGACACAACAGCATGCAGAAGAGCGACAGACAAACGTGCACGCGCGCACACGAGGACAATGACCCTAATTAATAACGATTAGTCCTTCTCTTTCGAACACACTCCAAAATGTGCAAATGGAACAATAAATATAGCTCTTAAACCTGAGCTGAAACAATCTCTACTAATCATTAGTAAACATCGGTCCGATTTGTCATTAATACTCTGTGATGCGTGGAGAGGCAAATAAACCGGGGAGGGACATGGGGGGGGGCCCGTCCCAGAGTGAGAAGGCCGACAGGTCGGAAAGTAAAGTTGCACAAAGTGAGGCCGGACTGAGAAAAAAGATTGTTTTGTTTTACGCAGCAGTGGGAAACTACTAGTTAACTCTCCTCAACTAGTCTACTGATGTTTCGCGTTCCTAAAGTGATGCACGCCTCCATTTAACAGGGAGACGATCACTCTTCTTTTACTCCTCCATCCTTCCATCCGGGAAGGGGGCAACACAAGTATGAACACCTGACACCGAGGTGTCATGAAATGATGGAGGCTTCGCCCCGGAGAGGCAAAGAGCTCGAGGTGCTCGTGGTTGTTAACGGGATGCTTTTACCTGAGAGGTGCCTCTCTCATGCCTCCCCAGGCGTGTCCCTTTTGTGAGGACTCTTCTGAACATTGAGTGGTTTGAAGCCGTCTGGCCTCCTCTGATCTCTTGTCACTGATCTGAAAAAAAACATCAACTCAACTCCAGAGACATTAAGAGGCTGTGAATTCTTCCACCAGCGTTTCAGTATTTGAATGTGTTGCTTTCTTCTGTTTGTATCATTATGAACCAAGTATTTTCTGAGGACTTTTCTCTGCGTTCTGGCATTTTATTGACGACTATTCAAATACGATCTATAAACCAATCAGAAAGGTCCTGGTAATCAAGGCGGCAGTCAACAGTAACTCACAACATCGGATGTTACTTAAATGAAGAAAACCACTAAATACAGTATGCTCGAATATGAAGGAGAGTCAATGACAGGTGGGAGGCGGCGCGTGGTGAAAATGAATAGTTCACCTTTTCTGAGGGGTAAAAGCAGCGCTGCAGCGACTCTAAAAACGTGTCCTCCATCGGTGAGCCGACCATCAGAGCATCACGCGTGACAAACAGCTTATTGTTGCAGACGCAGAGAGTGGTGATAGTGGGTAATAGGGGATATTAGAACAAATAATGATTAGCCTACTATGTAAATGGCAATTAAAGGACACGGAGTGCTGCAGGCGCTGTCCTTGCCTTTCACGCTTGGTTTTGGTAGGAACCCACACAGCTGCTGAACGCCTCTGGCCTCTGAACCTCATTTGTCCAAATGGGGCGGGGCTCCATGCGTTCGATCAATTAAGTTAAAAAGAAAAAGTGATCAGAGTGATTAGTTTACAGCCCAGCATCCACATTGTTGTTGACTTTACTTTACTTTTGAGTCCAGTCCACACATCCGGACCACCACACTGATAAACGATGGACGTGGTCGACAGAGTGCTGAGGAGCGCTCCTCAAAACAGGCGCCGTTAGTTTCACTTTAACCCAAAGGGCTCTCGTGTAATTGAAGGGGGGGGGTGCGCTTGGAGATGTCCAGGGAGGGAAAGACTGTTGAGGACAACAAAGCGAAATGGACGCACACAGCTTGTCTAAACGCTCTCTGATCCAAGCAGCCTGACACAGACGGCCGAGTGAGATCGGAGATGATTTGCACAGAGTGGCACCGCCACCTAGTGAGAGTCTTTGTATCCGAAAGCTCACAGATGAGAGGAAGAAAAGCGTCAGGTTTACATTTGACTTCTTAGTGCTGGATGGTAACAATAGTAATAATAACATGAAAAAAGTAACTTTCAAGATAGCAAAAGTGCTTTTTAGGGTGACATGACCACGACACAACAAACAAATCCATTTGATCCGTAAAGATCAGTCAGAAAACGTGAGAACGAATAGGCAGGAATTCATTAATTAATAAAAAATGTGTCTTTAGTAGATGTTCAATGGATGTTTTTTTCTTACGTCCCTTTGAGCTCGGAATGTCTTTTTTACAAGAGAAAAAGATGGGCAAAGACAAAACATCTTGTTTTCAGACTTCTACTGCAAAAGAAAATGAAAGAATAAAAAAAAGAAAACCAAATAAAACCAAACGGCTATTTAGCATAATAAAAGATAAGTTTGCCATGTATGAATTGGGTGAAGCGACATGTTATGCCATCACCAAAACGTCAGCAGCCCATCAAAACTGGGCCTCAGGCTTGGACTTCTGGGTGGGACAGAAAAGAAGCCTTTTGTCCCACCACGTGGAGAACAGTAAATGAAGTGGACTGAGGTCCCCCCCCCCCCCCCCCGGTGTCCCCTTGGCGGAGACACGATCGGGCGCAAATTCCCGCGAGATCGCGCTTTTTCTGTGAAA